GCATAATTTTGCACGCGAAAAACACTCTGAAATTATATGTATATTTTTTGCATGCAAATTGAAAATTGATTTTTCGTTTTCAGCTATGTTGCGCAAAAATTAAGGGTGTCGAAGGTGAGAGAGAATTGCATTTTGGCTGGTTTGATTGCCGCATAAATCATATTTTATGGCCATAAACAACGCAACAAGCATGCGTTTTATTGGAATTAGGCACATTCGAGACTACCATTTTGATTGGCTTTGATTGGTAATAACAATTATTTATTTGAATGATTGATTTATGAACTGATTGATGTGTGCTGCTGCTTGGTTTCACAACTAACACGCACTCAGCCTCTTGTCTCTCTTCCAATTGGGGACAATTTTGAGGGTTGTTGAGAATATTCCCACAGTAATATGACCTTCGCTACCCACGCCATTTAGCACCTCATCCAGGCCATAACTTGGCTAAAATTGTGCCAAATATAAATCAGATCCAAAAGAGCTACGCCCACCAGGGAATGGGCTATGGGAATGGCGAATGCCTCAGGCCAAACGTAAACAAAGCGTGCCCAAAAATAGCTAGCGATTAGCATCTGGGCAGCCAGAGTCGAACGTGGCGATGATGATGAGCCATGAGCCTTCTCCTAGCCTCCACCACAGCGATTCCCCAACTTGCGTGACACTTTTGCCAAGCGTCGCCTGGGATCAACGCATTCTCACTGAGCCCCGGCTAATTGTTCACACCCGCCATTCGCTCGGAATTGAAATGAGAATGCAGCCACACCCAGCTGAAACTAATCTGTAAACAATTAAGGCGGCGGTTGCTGCAGCACATATTTCAAATTAATTTGCAGCATGTGCGCCATTCAGCTAATTAAGTTTGCCCGCAGATAAATTAAAAAGCAGGAAGAGAAACATATATACTAATTAGCAGAAGTGTTTAAAGGGAAATGAATATTTCCTAAATATTTTAAAGGGTTTGTGCTATTTCATTTACATTTTTAAATACTTTTCTTATAATTCCAAAATAAAATTATAATTTATTGCTAAGATAGTTTATATTTTAATTCAACTAAAGTAAAGTACAGTCTTACTACAATAATAAAATTCAATAATTAAATAGGCTGCAGTTTGGTAATCAATTGTTGTTTTTAATGTTAATGTTCAATGGAAAAGTACGCCGCACAGCAACGACGCCTCTGATAAGAGACCAACTAATGGGGGAACAAACTGTAAGTGGAGGGTAAATGTATAGGAAACTCGTGCCTATGGAAAGCATATCACATTTGACTCACTTTCACACAAACAAACCGAAAGGCAGCAAACAAAAGCAAACAACACGAGGCCGGCGAACGTGGAAAACTCGGCAAGTACAAACACAAACACGGCCCACAAAAGACAAACACATGTGTGAAAATGTGGGTGAGGGCACAGTAAACACTGCCTTTAAAAGATATTTTCGGTTGCCCAAGAGCAGCTTATCTGTTATTCTCTTTGTGTTAGCAAGCAACCATTGGAATGGTTGGATAATAATAATAAAAAGTGAAAATAATTAGACATTTCACTATCTCGATTGGGTTTTAAGACAACAAAGTGGATAGCACAGATATCAGAGCAGAGATGCTTAGGTAGAGCATTTCCCATTTTCCCTGTAGAGAAAATTTCAAATATAAATAAATTTGTTATTTCAGTAAATTATAAATAATTTAAGTAGCCATTATAGTAGGATTGGAATTTAAAAAATCTCTTTCGTTCAACGTCTCCTAAAAATCACAGTGATTATAAGACAGAGCATTAGTTACCATATCTTTTACACTTGGTTTTTGTAGTTACGCAGATAGGAAACCCGCACCACACCCCCTACTGTTAAGACTCGCCACTGATTAACTAATTGAAAATTTGTTTTGCATTTGTCTTTGCCTGTTTTCCGCTTCTGTTTGCGGCTTCTCTTTCCTTTCCTTTAATGGAAATGGAAAATGAAAAATGAGAAATGGGAAACGAGTAAAAAAGTGGTAGCACACTTACGCTTACACACACATTTACATGTGTGTTGCGTAGTCGCCCTAACGGTAAAAACATTTGTAATTGCAATTTGTGCGGAGAGTCAAGTGTCAGCTGTTGGCTACCTCCCCCCTCTATCGCTATCTCTTTCGCCCCCTCATTCCATCATTCTGGCACGCAATATGGCGTCATGTCTTTGGCATCTCGCTCGCACACACACTGAGAACAAAATAAAATGGTCAGAATGAATGCGACAATTAAAATAAGTGAACTATGTTACAAACTACAAAGTGAGGCTTTGGTCTTTGGCAGCCAGCGCGAATTGTTGTAAATTATAGTGTGTGTGGATAAAGAGAATTAGAGGGAAAACATTTCTAGGTCAGTGGTGGAAATGAGCTCATGTGCCATACAGTGGACAAGCGTTATAGGCAACTTTGCAAATACACTGGGCACAACCGGAATTGAAAGCTTTGAAACACATATCGGTACCCACAATATTTACAGTTCTTCGTCGTATGTCGTAGATACTTTTAATATCATTTTACACCCAAGACTACACTTAATCATTCCTAATTTGATAACGTTGGAATTTGTATATTTAATGATAAGTAAACATAAACAATCTAGCGTTACTGGCGCCCTGATACAGACATTAGATATAACCATAACACCCGACTTCCGATGTGAAGAAATTCACCGGGTTGTCTTTATTGATCGATTGCCAGGAACCGTTGATGAAGCACTAAATTTACCATGCTTAAAAATAGCAACTTTTGGCAACCCAATTCCCGAGAAATAAATAGGGCATCGATTGTGCCGAAATAATAGAAAAAAGAGTGATATCATTGGGTAGTGGCTTCATTAATTAAATTTTTCCTTGCTTTTTGAATCTAGTAAAAAGATACAAGTTACAGATATTATATAATTCTACTTGTCAATGTGTTCTCTTGACTTAATAATATTAATATAATTAATAAAACAAATAATGTAATGCCCTTGTCGGCGAGTGTTATCTTGAGGAGATTCCACCACCCCCTTTTTAATAATAGTACCTGACCTGGCCAAGATAAGGATAAGAACTGCACTGGAAACAGTGACGCATAGCACTTAGTTGCTATAAGTAAGCCCCTAAGTCCAAACCCACTTGACTTTTGGCCAAATCGGAATGCCCACGCTTCTGTTTGGATTTTGGATTGGCCTGGGGATCGTTATGTGTGGGGATGGCGCGTCCAGAAAACAGAGTGCCAAATGCTGAGCAAACTGTAGAAATTTAAACGCACACAGCTGTTGGGATTTGAATTTACTTATTTTTGTTTTTTTTCCTGGGTTCGTTGGTTGCCAGTGAGTCATATAGAGGTGATTCGAGGAAATTCCGAGTTGCTTTGATTGATTAACTAGTTGGCAATGCAGTCATAATTCGCTATATCTTGTCTTTTTTAAGATGGAAGATGCTCTCATACATTTTTAGGGGCATTTCGTAGAAGTTGAAGTTTGTTTTAGATATACAGATATTTGTCAAACTTATAAGGAAAGCTTATTTTAATATCTTTTTTATATCACCGTGAAATAAACTAATTTTCTTGACTTGTAGACTTTGCTGTTTATCGCTTTCCTCCATCAAAAAGTTATTCCCACCGAAATTCCGGCAAAAACACAACCGCCTGTATGCAAAGTGGGTTAATAACTTATTTCCATGTTTGTATTTGGCATTAGATGACTTTTATTTTCACAGCTCTTGATGCGGGTTTTTATTGATTTTTCTTATTTGCATTTCCATTTGTTGGGAAATGCAGCCGGAGAAAGGGCAAAGGCAGGGGCGGAAGATGGCAGAGAAAGAGGGAAAAGAGTGGGCCGCCAAAAATACGCGCTCGGCTTTTCTGTTGTTTGCGGTAAGTCACTGCCCCTGTATTAGTGGGCAAGGAAGAAAGGCATAGAGAGCGAGAGAAAACGAAAGAGAGATGCGAGGATACAGGATGCGAAAACGCCAGAAAGAGAGAGGGCGCTATTCCTACCCCAATTGCGCCCGGTGGCTCCAAAATGGCCCACGCATACAGACACACACACAGGCAGGATGAAAACACAGCTGCAGCGGCGCTGATTTATCGATTTTTCACTGGGATACCGATTTCCCCCAATTATTTGTGCATTACATAAAGTAGGCGTTATAGAAGGGGCGTATAAAATTGGCACACCGGAGGGATCTAAAAATAGCCATTGTCCCCCGCAAAATCGCACGCTATAATTAATGCCCTTGACTCGTTTTCCCTTCTTTTTTATCAACCGTTTCTTTCCTACCTGCACACTCACGCATGCACTCACACCCATGTCTTTGCAGAGGCGGCACAGAAGGAGGAGAAATAAGGAGATGCCAAAACCCACACGGCAACAACAACACGGACGTGTGTGTATACTCGGCCCGTACTAGTGCTCATACTTACTTTTTTTTAGTTAAGCAAGCGCCGCTCGCAGGAAGTCGCTTTTGGCCTTATTGAGAGTTTCACAGCAGCTAAGCAGCATTGTTGGCTGTTTGTTGTTGTTTTGATTAATTGGGCTCCATTACACGGCACTTTCATTAATGATCTTTTCTTTGGGCACCGCAAAAACTGGACACTGGTTGTTTTTCTCTTTTATTTCATCTTTCTGTGAGATGGCTTAGCGAAAAGGAGACACTGCGCGAACTTGGGGCGAGTGCATAACTGGTTTTTCTGCACAACTCATTTGATTTCGCGTTCCTCGAATCTGTTTTTGCTTGAATTAATGTGGCCCGCACTGCACCAATTCACCGCACTTAATTGCGGTAGAATTAAATTGCACTCCGTTTGTTGTTTGTTATTTATAAACTTTTTTAAAATAATGACGGAAAAAACGCGACCGTCCAGGGGTGGGCCAAAGTCGATAGTCAGCAACCAATCGATGTCTCGATGTTTATCGATGTGTCTTCATCTTTATCATTGCATGAGCGACCAGTGTTGGCAAACAACGCTTTCACAATAGCGCGCGCTTTTTAAAATTAGTCCTTTGTTGCTGAACAAATTTTATTCATAAATATACAACTTAAACTATTAGGACTCAGCACTTCCTCACATCCGGCACGATTCCGCACTCGGCAAATGGATCAGGCTTGGCCTCCTTCTTGGCGCACGGCGGGCACTCCACGCAGCAGAGATCGTCCTTGGCAGTGGCCTTCAGCAGTCCGTCGATATTCTCGCCCTTCGCCGGCTTAAGGTTTGTGCCGGAATTCACGCGGGCAGGAACCTCGCTCATCTTGGTCTTGGAGGAGGAGGACCTTGGCTGCGTGTACTTGGGCGCGTCCGGTGGATTGGGTCTGCCCCAGAAGTCACGCGGCACATCCCAGATGATCAGCGAACCGTCCGTGCTCCCGGTAACGAACATGGTCATGCAGGGACTGTAGGCGCAGCTAATCACCGAAGAGGCGTGCTCGGAACCCAGTCCCACCACGGCGCCACTGTTGTAATCCCAAAGCTTCACCTGTAGATCGCTGCCCACGCTGATGAAGTAGTCCCCGGTCTCGTTGATGGCCACGCAATTAACGGAGGACTTCTTGGAGGCAGTCAGCTCCCGGATCAAAGCGCCATTGTATACATTCCAGTAGATGATCCGGCCATCAGAGCCACAGGTGATGACCTGGACACCGGTGGGGAAATATGAAGCGGACATGAACTGGGTGTTTGAAGTCACCACCTGCTTGCGGGTCATGCGTCTATCGGAGATTGGGTTTTAAAATTAATAGATAATAAAAAAGAGTTTATAACCATCCCACTTTATGTCCCAGATGACACAGGAGCCATCAGTGCAAGCGGAGATCACCTCCGTGTCCAGGTAATTAATATCCAGCGATGTTATGGGTCCCGAGTGATCCTTAAGCACGCCCAGTAGATCCTGACGATAAGGATCAATCTTCCAGACCCTAACTTGACCCTCAATGCCTCCCGTGACGATTAGGCGACCCGTGGAGGCCACGGCCAGGGCGCTGCATCCTTGGATTGGATGGAAGGCGGTTGGGAATCAATTGCAGGATATCTAACCTAAGACATTTACCCTTATTGTGAGCATTTGGAATGGCATAGATGAGTCTTCCGGTGATCGGGGTGAAGGCTCGAATGATTCCATCGTTCCAGACGGAGACAATGCTGGTGCCGTCGTGGGTGAAACGAACGGCGGCACAGTTGAAGTTGTAGACCATGATGCGGAGCAGTTCCTGCTTGCGTCCAGAAGACCAGATACGAATGGACTCCTTGCCCGAGGTGGCAAAAACAGCAGAGTAGTTTCTATCAAAAACAGTTTAAATTGATTACCAGGTAATCTTCATCAAAAAACTCACTTGGGAAAGGTGATGCAATACACCGACTTGGTGTGACATGTTCGGAGTAGCTTCAGTACCCAAGTCTTGATATTGAGGCCATAGATCTCATTGGTGTCGGTGCAAATGTAAAAGAGATCCGTCTTGGAGCGAACAAACGACGAAATCCTACCCGACACATGGGTCTTCTTCAGGGTGCGCAGATACGGCCAGGTGGGCCCCGGATACTCACGGAAATTGATCAAGGGCACATCGGTGCGCTCCTCCACCAATTCGATATCGCCGTTGCCGGCTCCAATTAAGAGGCGTCCTCCTTCCAGGACATACAACGCGCGAACGCCGTTAACATAACGATTGCAATCCCTACCCGTTGGCTTTCGGGGATTGTGGGTTCCAAAGGCTCCCAGGATGCCGCTGGCTGACCCTGGCTTACTCACAAAATCACGATCGCAACAGTTGAGGGCAATCTTCACGATATCGCCGGTTCCAGTGCCCAGAAAGGCGAACTCATCCGACTTATTGATGCGGGCACAGTAAAAGACCCGAGACTTGCTGGCCATCTGGACATCCTGGACATATAGCTTCTTCTGCTCGCGCAGGATGCTCCACAGGCGCAGATGCCGATCTCCGGCGGTTATAAAAAAATACGGATTATTGTGCAAAGGCCGAACAGTCAGGGCATTGCCGGATATGGCCCTAGAGGCCGGAGTCTGGCAAATCGGAGAGCTGTGGGGGATGATTATGATTAGCTAAGATCTATTTGGACTACAAGCAAACTCACAATGACTCCATGTCAAAGACGATGACAGAACCATCGTCCACCCCACCAATGGACACCACACAACGGTCCCCGGACGTGAAGCAGATGGCCTGCACGGAGACTTTGTGCAGATCGTGACGGGCGATCTCCTTGCGTTGCTCATAGTCCCAGACGATGACATAGCCCCTGAAACCCATGTGGTTTATCTGACCCGAGGCCATGTATTTGCCACTTTTGCTCAGATCCAGACAGGATATGGTGTTGGTGTGTCCCGCGATAAACTCCTGGGTGTTCTTGACGTAGTCGGCGATCCCGATCTTGTTACCTAGGGGAAAGATAATGGATCCGGTGGCCGGATGCTGACGCACTCCATTCTCCACCTTTCCGTTGATGCCGAAGATGGCACGCGGCAGGAGATGCCGGCAGGCTTCCTGGTCATGGGCCATTCTTGGATTATATTAATAAAATATATTTATTTCTGAATGTAACATATGATGGATGGGTTGTGTCGGCTATTTTTTTATGCTTTATGTTTTGACTGCTTGTTTTCTGTTTGAAAACAAGAATTTTCCAGCGTTGCTTGGTTGCCGTTGCCAACAAACTTGAATTTCAGTTTTTTAAATTTAACGGACAAACTGTTTAAAATGTTCAGCTGGTTGTTTCTGTTGGCAACGCGGTGTTTACATTTACAGTTTAAAATGCTCAGCTAGCTGTCCCGCTCTGGCACACACAGCTGCTGCCAGCGACAGTTGGCAACGCGGTGTTTACATTCTGCTTAGTTTTCGCAATTATCGCGGTTTTCCTTTGCCGGCGTGAAAGGAGGAGAAGCGGTGAACTGAATAATCAGACGGCACACATATAACGGTGCCTATATATATATATAGCTCACACCACTCTTCTTTAATCGCTATTTACAGTTGAGCGGCGTAAGGCGAAGCAACTCAAATACTCAATAATAATAATTCTCCACTTGACCGAAGCAAACAAAGGAAACAAATACCGATATGCCTTCTATTGGGGGCGTTCTACGGTCCCTGGGGCTAACCCTGCTCCTCCTGGGGCTGATAATTCCCGCGCATGGAGTGAGATTCCGACGAGGTCGCCTCAACAGCGGCTTCCTTGGTGATCCCAGCCACGAGGCCACTCTGCAGCGTTCACTGCCCGCCGAGGATCTGTGGTTCGAGCAGCGTCTGGATCATTTCAATCGCCAGGACACGCGCACCTGGCAGCAGCGATACTTTGTGAACGCCGATCACTACAGAAACGACTCCTCCGCCCCCATATTCCTGATGATTGGCGGCGAGGGCGAGGCCTCGGCCAAGTGGATGCGTGAAGGTGCTTGGGTGCATTATGCCGAGCACTTTGAAGCCCTGTGTCTGCAGCTAGAGCACCGTTTCTACGGCAAAAGCCATCCCACTGAGGACCTTTCCACCGCCAATTTGGCTTATCTTAGCTCCGAGCAAGCACTGGAGGATCTGGCCAGCTTTGTGGTGGCCATGAAAAAGAAATTTAATCTGGCTGATGGCCAGAAATGGATAGCTTTTGGTGGCTCTTATCCGGGGTCGCTGGCTGCCTGGGCTAGGGAGAAGTATCCTCATCTGATTTACGGTTCGATTAGCTCCAGTGGCCCGTTGCTGGCCGAAGTGGATTTCAAGGAGTACTTTGAGGTGGTCAAGGCTTCGCTGGCTGCCTACAAACCCGAATGCGTGGAGGCGGTGGCACGTAGTTTTGCCCAAGTGGAAATTCTCATGAGGCATATGATTGGTCAACGGAGTTTGGATGAGAAATTCAAGTGAGTTTTCGGGGGAAATCTAGCAGAAGGTATAGGTACAGGTATTAACAAAGTTCTGGGGTAGTTACATATCCTTGTTGAAGGGATCAACTGGGATATTTCTCAGGTAAGACTCTATAATCAAACTTCTTTTCTTTCAGGACCTGCACTCCCATCAAGGACTCGATTGATAACCCACTGGATATAGCCAGTTTCTTTGAGAATCTGGCTGGAAACTTTGCCGGCGTGGTTCAGTACAACAAGGACAATAGTCCGCATGCCACCATAACCATTGACGATGTAAGCTCTTCCACCTAATCCTCTAAAGATTTATATCATTTTGAATTCCTAGATCTGCGATGTAATGCTAAATACCACCGCTGGTCCGCCTGTCACTCGTCTGGGCCTGGTAAATACCATGCTGCTAAAGGATTCCAATACCACTTGCCTGGACTACAAATATGAGACAATGGTAAAGGACATGAAAAACGTGTCCTGGGACTCAAAGTCGGCCGAGGGAATGCGACAGTGGACATATCAGACATGCAACGAGTTTGGCTTCTATCAAACCTCAGAGAACAAGACTGATATCTTTGGTGGCCGGTTTGGAGTGGACTTCTTCATACGCCAGTGCATGGATGTGTTTTCGGACAACATGGATGCCAAGTACTTGGAGCAGGTTGTGTCGCAGACCAACAAACATTATGGAGCCCTGCATCCGCAGACAACCAATGTGCTGTATGTGCACGGTTCCATTGATCCCTGGCATAGGCTGGGTTTGGTCAAGTCCACGGATAAGGCAATTCCTACGATTTTCATAGAAGGTAAGGATATAACACCACCTTCGATTGAGTAGAAAACCCATTATAAATCTGTAATCCCTTTTAGGAACTGCTCACTGTGCCAATATGTACGAGCCGGTGAAAACCGATCCCCCACAGCTGGTGGCTGCCCGTAACAAGATCCTCAAATATTTGGCCAAACTGCTGGAGGGCTACACCTCAATCCCCTAATGAAACCGAAGAAATAGCTGCGCCAGCAGAAAGTGAAGTCGCATTAATCCTAGTTGTCAGCATGTTTTCTTTTTATTCTGTTTACGTTTTGCATGCGTTCAAACATTAAATACACTCTGCTGCGAGTTAATCCTTCTTGGCCTGCTCCATTTTCTCGTGGAACCGCTTCCAATAATGCTGCACCTTGTCGTTCTGAACGATATTCTGATCGATGAAGTGCAGCACCCAGGTGCCAGTTAGGTAGATCAGGTCATAGGAGAAGGCAACCACGCGGAAAAAGTACTTCTCCGTCTGCTGCTTGCTGGGCAAATTGGCCACGATATCCTGCAGCTTCTTGGCAGCCGCCTCTTGGGCCTCCTTGGCCTTCTTTCGATTATCGGTGGGTTTTTTCTGTTCCTCTGGGTCAGCGGCCTCGTTGCTCTTTCCCTTGAAGTTCACGCAGGTCTCCAGGGGCTGAATATTTTCCAGCTTGCCCATAAAAGTGGGAGGAGCACTCACCTCCGTGGTGGTGGTGGCAGCCTTCTGTGTATGACCCTGATCCTTGATACCAATCGGCCCGGCAGACATGAAATTGGTCGGCTTGCTATCATCTATTCCTCCCGCAGAGTATACGCGATAGGCATTGAGCACTATCACCGACTTGTTGCCATTACGCACCTTTAAAGTGGAAGAGCCAGCTAAGGAGAATATTTCGTTTAGAATTTATAAGATTTATCAGAAGACTCCACGGGCCACGTGCTTTCGACTTACCCCAGAAGTGGACCGGGCATCCTGACACAAAGGGGTTGCGTTTCAAATGGTTTTTGGCCAACAATGCTGCTCGAATCATTGTGCAAGTGTTTTTTGTTAAAACGAATGCAGAATTTCAACAACTTTTTCCAAAAAAGGTTCTGCCAACGTCGTTAACAAGCCGACAACGGAAAAGAGGAGGCCAACTTAGACCAGGGCTGTCATAATATTCAAAGGGAATGGAATTACGGGAAGGAACACAATTCGAGGGGTACAAAAAACAAGCACAAAGCGTTAAAAAATATAAATTTTTAATCAAAATTTATAATTTTTACGTTTTAATCCATAAAAAACTGTTTGAAATTTAATATACTTTAAGGAATTTAAAAATTCCAGTTTGAACATGTCAAAAAAGTGATTTTAGGTGTCACTTAAAGATAAACCAAATATATTTAATTTTGTTTTATAAATTGTCTTTTTATTTAGGCTATTACTAAACATATTAGTAAGTTTACTAGTTACATTTAAGGCTTATAAGCGATCGCATACAACTGCAGGCCCAAGTTTACAAAATTTTTCAACACTGTCAAGCTTTTGGCAAAAAAATAAAATGCTTGACAGAGCCAGGGCTACAAAAAACGCCAGACAAATGTCACAGGCGGAAAAGGGGCTGCTCTGCACTACAAAAATCAGCCCCTTTTGCGGCTACGCCATTAGATAGCGAAAAAAAGACTTAACTAAGTTTCAAAAGAAAACCGATGGAGCCCAGGAGGCTGGTTATTAGGATATACATAAGCTCATCGGCTGTCCTTTGCGTACTTTACATTTTTCATTTTTAAATTAGTTAACTTACGGGGTGCGCCAACGGTGGTTAACTAAATTGCAGTTGGTTAATTTGTTCCGCGACTACTGGCAACCAAATGGGTTATTAAACATAGGTGTGTGTGTCAAGCATATAAAGCATTTAAAAAAATATGTATATATGGAGCATACAGTCACGTAAGTGTATCGAGTTCCTTAGCGGTTAATGGAAATGTATGGATGCGCGTTTTCCTTTAATACTACATACGACGCAAGCTAAATAATGATGATGATCCCTTAGAATAAACCAATTTGTTTCAGATTATTCTTGATGATCACATCGGTGACGGCATCGAAAACGAACTTCACATTGTTCGTGTCCGTGGCGCAGGTGAGGTGTGTGTAAATCTCCTTTTGGTCTTTTCGCTTGTTGAGATTTTCAAACTTCATGCGAATGTAGTTGGCTGCCTCCTCAAAGGTGTTGGTACCTGTTTTTTAAAGAAAGAAATTATATTAAATATCAGATTAAAGTTTAAATTCTCCTGTCTTCTTACCTGTGTACTCTGGGAAGCATATCGTCAGGGGAGATCGCTTGATTTTCTCCTCGAACAAATCCTTCTTGTTGAGGAAAAGTATTATGGAGGTTTCCACAAACCACTTGGAGTTGCAGATGGAATCGAATAACTTCAAAGACTCAATCATGCGATTCATCTCCTCATCCTCAGCCAAGACCAAATCATAGCCTTAAAAATAAGAAGGATAATACAGGGATATTTATTTATTATTTGTTTTAATAAATAAATAAATAAAACCTACCCGATAGCGCCACACAAAAGATGATGGCTGTAACCCCCTCAAAGCAATGGATCCACTTCTTGCGCTCCGATCTCTGGCCGCCCACGTCAAACAGTCTGTAAGAATAGTGTAAACATTTAAATCACATAAACTAAACTATACAAAACTAATCCCCACTCACTTAAAGTGCAGCTGCTTGCAGGAGAAATGCGTCTCTATAATGCCAGTGGTCTTGACACGAGTACGAAGCACATCCTGCTGGGTGGGAATATAGTTAGGCTGCGCTATGCGATCCAGCGAGTTGAGGTAGTAGCCCGCCGAGTCGTTTAGCTGATATTCCCGTGAACGAGCGAAACTCTGCTGTACACCGCCATCAGCCCAGAGTTTCTTCATTAGGAGAACAATCTCGGGCAGCAGGATGCCCTCATCCGCGGCGGAGGCATGTGTGAAGAACTGGCGGGCAATGTCCGTTCTGCCGGGATCTGCAAATTCAATCTTTAGACGTCCCATGGCCCGAATGATCACCATCAGGCTCTGCACAGTGTTGCTGTATACCACGCGACGGTACTCCTCGCATTCCTCCTGCGAGTAGCCAGTCTCGTGGATGATTTTCATCTGTTTTACTATCGTGGATTTGCCAGATTCGCCGGCACCTAAAAGAATGAAGAAATGGGAAAGGGTTATTAATATAAAACGGAATTTAAGGGTATTTAAAATGTTAAAATATTTTTATTTAAATTTATTTTGTGCAAAAGTAAAAGGAAACAAAGAAAGATAAAGATTTCTGGATTTCCTCAAGCTGTTTTACTTATAAAATTGTATAAACTTTGACCTTGAATCATGAATGCTTTGAATCATACATTTTTAGATAGCAAATTCTGTGATTTTTCCCATAAAATGTATAAGCTTTTAACTTGGAAAGTCATCAAGAGCTTGCATTATATTTATAGCTTCACTCTGAAACCAAATTCAATTGTAATTCTAAGAAAAATAATCAAATTAGAAAGATTTATAAATTTTTAAAATATAAAATATTAAATTAATCATTTAAATACTACCAAAAGTTAAGAAAGGAAGCTGAAAAGCATTTAGATGGCTTCCACAGAAGGGGTGTGAGCTCATGCTTCTCCCCTGTGGGCGTGACCTGTTCATAACTAATCGAAATATCACGTTCGTTGCCCCAAAAAGCTGAATGAATCGATGAGTGTACGTACGGCCGTAGGCATGGGAATGGAAAGAGGTGGATCTGATCTGAAGCTGGGGGGTATAGGAGGAGGAATTTATGAATGAATGCGAACGAAGCCAGAAAACTCGCTCAATTGGCGGATCAAGAGGCCAAAAAGCTGCCGGTTTACACTTAATTGCGCTGGTCATGTTGAAGTGAATGAATCTTGAATATGAGTAAGATACAACTACTAGAAAATTGAATGAAACAGGAAGACAAATTACAAACAAAATGGGGGTCACAAATATTTTTTGAGCAAATAAGTTTTTTATTTATTATATTCTTTGCTGAATTTCTGTTAAAATATATGTTCCCATTCCTTTATAAATATAATCACCAAGCCCTTACTCAGGTTCATTGAACCTCCAAGCCAGCTCCCGTTGATTCTCAACGGCTATCAAAGCCCGACACAGTTTGCCTTTTAAAACTTTCAATTGTAAAATGAGACCTGACCGTTCGAGAGCTTTAATAATAAACAAACACACTCGCCTGTCGTCTGGCTGACCACATGAGTTTAATTTCTGTTTCGAATGATAAAAAACATAATCACATTACGTGTTTACCAGTTTCCCTTTTCGATGAAGACAGCTCAGCAATATAATAGAGGAAAACAAGAAAGGAAGCTAACTTCGGCACGCCGAAGTTTGTATACCCTTGCAGATATTATTTCATTACATTTTACCTATACTTATTATGTTTACAGTTTGACAGTTACAGTTTTGCATTCCCAGCTTTACATTTTGTATACATCTACCGATCGGTTTATATGGCAGCTATATGATATAGTTGTCCGATTTTTTTGAAATTTATACCAAAATTCTAGAATAATAAAATAAGCTTATATCCCGGAGTAGATGAAAATACGTTGAAAAACAACGAATATATAATTTTTTTTTCTATTAATTTCCCGATCGTTCCTATGGCAGCTATATGATATAGTCGTCCGATTTTCATAAAATTTTTACCAAAATTCAAAAATAATATAAAATGGTAATATCTAAAAAATGGTGCCAAAATGTTGAAAAACAACAAAGTTATAATTTTTTTTCTAAAAATATATCGAACATTTGTATGGCAGCTATATGATATAGTCGTCCGATCCGGCCCGTTCCGACATATATAGCAGTGAGAGTACATAGAAGACTCTATGCAAAGTTTCATTCAGATAGCTTTAAAACTGAGGGACTAGTTTGCGTAGAAACGGACAGACGGACGGACGGACAGACGGACGGACAGACGGACAGACGGACATGGCTAGATCGACTCGGCTGTTGATGCTGATCAAGAATATATATACTTTATAGGGTCGGAAACGTCTCCTTCACTGCGTTGCAAACTTCTGACTGAAATTATAATACCCTGCAAGGGTATAAAAATGGCAAGAGAAAAAATAATCAAAAAAATTGGCAACTCTTGTCGCTGAGCTACAGCTACCGGTCTAAGTTTTATTTCAGTTATCAAGCGTTATATACGAGTGTTTCTGTGGGTATTGCAACAATGGCGCATTAAGCCGCCTTTTTGCTGCAGTTTGGGTCCATTCCCAGAGCCCATACTTTCGGTCCCAGTCCCAGTCGCAGCCACCGGATGATTAGGTAATTGCCAGAGCTCTAATACAGCATTACTTTCACTTTTTTCTACTTTCAGGGTTTGGATGATACTTGAACTAAAGCCATGATTGTTTTTATGACTAAATTATACAAGATTAAAAGCTCCTTTGGTCCAGACAAATCGGCTCACTATTGTTAATCATAATCTTAAAGTTTCCTAAGACTGGCTTCGTTCTTACACTTATGGTATATTAAAGTGCTTTATTAGTTTTTTATAATCATTTCTATAATCTCATTGCTAAAGGCATTAAAATAAAAAGATTCTAAATATTCAAGTTTCATTCCAGAAATTGTTAATTTAATGTATATTCTTGGTAACAGTGTTGGGATTTTTTATTGAGTAATGTGAATACTTGACTGATAATGTTAAAATATATATTCATTAAAAACCCACAATAAATAATTTTCTAAAAAACAAATGTCACTTCAATGTTAGTCTGGGAATTCTAATAAAAATTCTTTAGCTGCGGCAAATACACAAAGTTTAAAACTAAATGAGGTTTTAAAATGCTTTTTAAACATGAAACTTAAAAACTTAATTATATGAAGTTATCATACTACAATGATATCCCTCTGATTCCCTAAAATAGCTTATTTTACCTTCATTTTTAATCATATTTTTCGTAAACAAAACCCCAAAAATAGTTATTTTTAATTTGAGGTAATCTTAACAATGCGTACTAATTTTGCAATAAACTAAATGTCGTAAAGCCAGAAACAGAGACACATAGCACACACAGAGATAATGGCTGAAAAACACGGTCGATCGTCGTCACATAATGATGGAAATGACAGATCTGAATACGAATATGGACATTAGGCGACGTTCAAACCTGCCACTGGAAAAAAACGAACAACAAAAACCACAAATGAACGGCAGAAAAAAGGTCAATTTAATAATAATAATAATAGCAACAAATTGTTTGTATGTGTATGTGAGTGTGTCTGGGTATTCATTTATCAATGCACCGTTAACTGGGTGCCATAACAAGGGAGAAAAAGACAGGGAGAGAAGGTCTAAGAACAACGGCGGTACGCACAAAAGCGATCTTAAGCCTCGCTTACAAGCCCATTATCATGGCGATCGTGCTGATCGTGCCCCTTGCTCAAACGGTATTATAATTAACATCATTATGCAGTGGATATCGCGCCAAGAGCGAAGCTCTTCTTGGGGTTTTGGAATAGCAGAAAGTGAGGTCTCTTCTACCAAGATAAATAAGCAAGCCAAAGGGATCGCAATTCTGTTCCATTGGTCATTGCTTGCTTAGGTTTAATTAAACCTATTTTTAGCCGCTTATATTTTAATATTTTGTTGATTTAATTGTCAGGCAATATACCAAGTATTAAAATTCTTTTTCAAAAGTTCTTAAAAAGAGGAAAAACCCAATCTCAAGCCTTAAAAAGTCTATTAAAACCAATCCCTACTGTATTACCCCCTCTGGGGCGTGGACTTTCCAGGCGTGTGCAGTCCAGTAATTGGCCTGGGTGATGATTGAAGTCTGTGGAATCATCATTAGAAGCGGTGACTAAGGCTCATATCGAAACAATAGCCAAAGACAGCGTAGAGGAGAGTAGAATCGTTGTACTTCTCTCTTTGCCCGTTTGGGAAAGTGTTTGCGCCATGAGTAATCCGTGTTAAATGGCGCCTGCAACTCAGTTATCGGAGGTGGCGGGAAATGTGTTAATCAGCGGCGCCAGAGTGTAAAATTGTGCGGATCCACTAAATAAGTAAACAATTAAATCAGATGAAATAGGGCCGTACAACGGAAATCCCCACCCTCGGAACAATGATGAACCCAATGATGACTTTCACGCAAAATCTTACTTATCATCAATTTCTCCCCTCCCCTGACTTTCTTATATAAATTATTACGGTTTCATCAATTATTTAACTGTTTATATGGTTGAAAATTGACGTATAAGGTCGTTTAGCGATAATTTTGATAAGCGAAATGATACTTTCAGGGCTTGTGAGCGAGTGAGTGTGTTTTTGTTTGTATGTGAATTCTTGAAAAATATAAAAAATATATACGAATTTTGTAGATTAAGTCGCTGTGTTGACAGTCTGCTTGTGCTTCGATTTTGATATTGGTTCGCCCCAAGCATGACATTTGTTTTGTTTATATAGTATATTACTTTTTTTTTCAAGATATTTGTGCATATATATTATATGAGAGAAGCTTACTCATGCCCCAAATGCGGCGGCTTAAGTATACATTCTTTCTCCGATCTCACTCTCTCGATGCAAATATCGTTAAACATTAATTCGCATTCTTTTTGCCTGAACACGAATTGTTATCTGGTTTGTAGACTTATGGAGTGAAAAAAAGAAATTCAACTGAAAGTTGTAGTTTTTCAATTGAATGGCGTGCAGAAAGGGAAAAAAGAGAGAGGGCAGGGCGAGTGTAATATAAATTGAGTGTCAGACCAGCGGAGGAGCTTTTTATTAAATCTACACAATAAGCCCAGCCAACAACGTTGGGGGCTGTCAATTCCGAATCCAATTTGAGAAGCAGTGGCTGCTGGGGGCACGGAGAAAAATAATTTACCATCTGGGAGTAATTTTAAAATTTTTTGTATTATTTTTTTTATATTTTTTATTGACTGATTAGTGCAGGTATTAGACTCTATAGTAGAATCAGTATTCTTTTAGCTGATTTATCCAGCGGGAATATTCTTTACCTATACCTATTTTTTGCCGTGTAGCTTGTCAGCTGCATTTGGTTGCGGGGCCATTTATTTGCGCTAATATCGTTCACCCCACTTGAAATGTCAGCGAACAAATAACAAAGCAACAATAACAACATTAACAACAACAGCAACAACAACGAATGGCCAATTACTCAGCTTCAAGAGTGGGAGAGTCAGTCACAAAGAGAGAGCGCAGGCGCAGCACCATCAGCAGCAGAAGAAAACAACAAATACAGCAGATATCAGAGAGCAGTTTTCGTTATAAAATAACAAAAGTGCAAACACACTCTCTCACACACACACACACACGCACAACAACAATATCAACAATTAAACCAAGTGCAGCGGCAGCGGAAAAATGTTAGCCTGAAATGCAACTAGTGCAAGGTGCTTTCTGGCCTCAGCCGTCAACCTGCATCAACTTACACTGGTCAACCTGGTTAGTTTTCAGCTGGAAAACCAGCAGGGGAAATGTGCGATAAGATTGTATAAAAGAAGTAAACAAGGTGGGGGTTGAAAACTCAAAACTCGTAAGTTCTAGACATTTTCCTGGCATTTCTTTTTGCCTTTTTAAAACCGGTTTTTTGGGTGACTTCTTTATGTCCCTGGGAAACACATCTATTTGACTTGGATTTTAGTTTTAAGGGACAGTACAGGAAGGACAGAAAGGAAAACTATGATTATTACATAGCTGCAACAAAAGTAGTATCCTACTTTTAGTTAGTTAACTTATTTTTGAAATATTACAAACTCAAAGAAAGTGTTGCCTGGTGTTCTTATTATCCAATGCCCACTGTACCTTTTCGCCTGCCTCTGGGTGATGCCTTAGTCATCCCGGGTCGCTTCATTAGTAAATCAACAGCGGGGCAACACAATATCGCAGAAAAAGCTGGAGAAAAGCCTCAACTGCATTGTTTTTTAAAAATGAATGGCAATGAAAATGAAAAGTACACAAGCACTATCGTCGTTCCCATATCGTGTGTGTCTGTCTGTTAATAAAAGTGGATACGTATAGGTGTGTGGAAATTTTAATTGCAGAAGGTTAGGTCGCAGTAGAGGCATTTCATTTCGTTTCGCTGCCTTTGCCGCAGAGGTCGGGTCACCAATGCTATGAATTGCGATGCGATACGATGGCGCCTCGATGCTTCAATGGGTTTTACCCTCCCTCCGTAAGAAGAAACCAATGCAACCAGAGCTAGAACCACCGATAACCAAAGCCTCGTATCGAAGCGCCACAAACATGCGGCGCCCCACTTGTTCTGGCGGCGGCAAGGCGATCATCAAATCCAAAAGATCTGAAGAATAGTGCGTGCCAGAAGACGAGAATGGAGAACGGAGGAGAGCTGAGACATTTGGTTTCAATTTACGTTCAATTTTCTTATCGCCAACGAAATATTGGACACAGACATTGCATATTGTGCACTCGAGCAAACAGTTCAAACTGCTTAAATAGAATTTACATTTAATTTATTTAAAATTTGTTAATATTTTTAATCGCAAACCAAGGTTACGAAAAAAAATGAGGGTTTTTAACAAGCAAAAATGTTAGATATCACTTATCATATCAACTACAAACATTAAAAGGTTTTTAGGGGCTTCCCAAATTATCGTACGTTACTTTTTTTGGTGCAAAATCCCATTTGAAACCCATACTTTTGAGCAATAAAACATTTTTCCGCTATATTAAAAATTTGGAATAGATCTTAGGCAAGTATCACTGTATCACTGCAACAGAACTAACAGTTGTTTGCCAGGCGTTGGAAGGAGGGGGTTTTCCCTAGGGGATTGCCGGCAAAAATCCTGCATCGAACTCACCACAGTCGCCGAAAAAAAAAAACGGTGCCAGCCGAAACCCACCCCGCTCAGGCCAAAAAAACGAGGTCAAACCAAGCGAATTTTGCACAAAATACAGATTTAAGAAGTAATGTTAAAAGTAAAAGGAGAAAAAGGAGTTAAAGTAGTGGGAAGTAAAAAGAAGACGCACCCAAAAGCAGCAGTTTCACTTCCGAGGCGGCCCGCTCGCCCTCCGCCCGCAGCGCCCGATCGATGTTCTTGGAGCGTTCGATGGCCTCTTTATCGCGTGCTGTACTCACGGCACAACCCATATTCGCTGCTTGTCTTTATCGCTTTTCAATTTTAATCCGCTGGAGCTTGGCAACAGGCACTTTTCCGGCAACTTCCGCACTTTTCACTCGCGTTTTCCGCACTTTTCGGCAATTTTCCAGATGCGTCTGCGCGTCGTCGGCTGTACGCTTTTTTTCTTTTCCCCTTTTCGGTGTGTTTCCACCTCTGCGCCGATCACACAAGCACACAACACATGCGCACACGCACGCACACAAACACACTCAGAGCGCTGCAGACGCTCCTTAATTCACAGTTTTTTGATTAAATCGCGGTTTAACTACAATTCCCCGTTTGTTTTCGGTTATTAGCGTTTAATTTCCAATCTTTTGCTTTAATTCCGCTTATCCGCCGATTTTTGCTGTGAATCACGATCGTTAGAGTTGTGTGGCCAGATGCAAATTAGTTTTCGAACTAAAAAATCCCAAACAGTTGAAACTTTCCCCTAAAAAATCCAGATATTTCATATTCAAACCACACCTGAAATCGATCGAGCACACACTAGCAAATACTCGAACCATTAAAATGTTCTTTTTTAAATAAATTAAATTAATTTTTTTTTAAGTGTACTTTTTTTATATGTTAGTAATTTGCTTAATTTTTAAATAATTCGTGCTTCAAAAATATCGCCACACATAAAATTTTAGAAAATAAAAATATTATTAAAATGTAAATTAAATAAAAAAATATGTATTGAAAAAACATAATAATAATAAATAATATTATATTTTGTAATATGGTTTTTTAATTAAAAAATAAAATGATACTAAAAATTTATTTAAATTATAAAAACAATAAAATGAATAGCAAATGTTTTCTTTTACTGAAAATGTGATTTTTAAACTTAATTTTAAAGTCTTAAACTCTTCAGAAAAGATGAATTAAATTAGAAATATAATTATTAGACAGTCCAAGAATGAACTCGTTTCCTTTCTGGTCAAGCCTTCATTATCTTTGCAATCTCATTATTCTCCTCAACTTGCCCTTTTGGCTGGCTCTTTGTTTGTTGTTAAAACGCTTTAAGTATAAATAAACCTTACCGAAAATATGTTGTTGTTGTTCTTCAGATATGCAGGCGGTCTTCGTCCACCCCTTTCATCCCATCCCCCCGTAGCCTTTCTCCGCTCAATGTGGACGCAAACCGAGAGGAAAAAGTTCTCAGGGCCCTGGAATAAATAATATTTGCCTTTTTCGGGACAATACAATTTTGAATTTCTGAATTGGATTCCAAATGTGTGCAGTTGCATTTGCTACAGGGGAACTTCCCTACAAGGAAACTATTAATTGATTTTAGGACTATATCTATGAATAGATTTTCCAATAAGGAAGCTCCCCTATAATTCCAAATCAATGATATTAAAGAAGAAAATTGTCTAGATTGGAGGGTGCCCACGGCTTTCCGCAGCTAATTTATCTAAACAAAAAGGAGATCCAAAGACTGGGCAGGAAGGGGAGAAAGGACAAGGAGCAATATGAAGGAGAAGAGCTGTGCAAAAGTTTCGCTGCTGCTGGAGGAGGACGTCACATGTAGGCATCTCCCTCCCCCCGCCAGCGCATAGGTGGAGGCCATCAACACACAGGTCATGATTTACACATGTTTACACGAATTCGTGTGGAGGGGAAACGGGATACCGATCCCGCTGCCGCAATGAATGAATGATAGCTTCGCCTCCTGGCTGTCCCTGCGCCTGCTCCCTGCTGCATTTGGTGTTGTAATTTATCGTAAAAAGCGCAGGCTAGAGAAATATGGATTTCTGCGGTTATTCTGTATGTGTGTGTGCGTTGTGGGAGTAGGAGGATGGAAGGGGGTACTCCGCTTTGGGTGGTCTCCATCCCTGTCTCTTTTGCACTTGTGGCGTGCACATGAGGCGCATGCTGCCCGCATTGTTATTGCTCTCGTTGCTGCTGCTCTTATTGTTGTTGTTGTTGTTGTAGCTGGAATCCCAAACTGTTTGCTGATGCCAACAAATTTGACGAACGTCGTCGTAGTCGGCATCTCATCCAAAAACTTCAATCGGCGTGCGCTCAAAAAACACACACACACACACAAGAGATGGAGGAGATGGGAGGAAGCTGGAAGAAAAAGCAAAAACAACAAGCTGCCATGCAAACAGCTAGAGGAAGAGGGAGAAGGAGTAGAGTAGGAGGCAATTACAAGGATGGAAAAGGCCTTGAAATAGATATACCGTTAGATCACCCACACACGAACATTTGTGTGCAGAGGGAGAAAATATTAGTGGATTTGAAGAGGGAATCTTTTTAAAAACAATTTATGTATTTTAAAAACACAGTCATTTTAAAGATTATAAAAAAAAATTATTTTGAATTAAATTTAACACAAAAATTAAAAATATTATTAAATTATATTTTTAAAGTTAAACGTTTTTTATTTGTCTAATGTAATTTAACTTAGATTGAAATATTAATTAGATTAAAATATTTATAACTTATTTCAAAATGTATTATTATTTCCTTTAATAGTCCACATATTATTAAAAATCTTATTTTAAAGGAATATATACCTGAACAATGTCTAATTTCTTTCTGTGCATAGAGTTTGGCACATGTGTTAGATGGCACTGGGCAAACTCACGATTGAGAAGATTAATTTCCCCGATAATTCGGGAAGCGGAAAATTCAGTTTCATATGAAAACTTTTGCCGCCCCGTTGAAAGGTGGAACAGACAGGCGATAATACCCCCAAAACCCCTCCCAGATCCACCCATTTACACACAGACACACACACACACCCAGCACAGCACTCATCCGCAAGTGAAGTTGCAGACGTTTAAAGAGTACTGATGGATTCTTTGGGGCGTCGATCGTCGATCGTCGGGCGATTCGATTGATTTTCGGCACTTTTTCAAAAGCCGTCAAGAGGCCGACAAGTAGAGAAAATAAATCGGTGGAGGGAATAATGGGTGCTAGATAGGTGTAGAAAGAGCTAGGGAGATCAAACTGATCTTGAGTTAACTAGTAGATCTTACTTAGAAATTTAAATAGGTTTTCAGGGATTTTAGGTTCCATTTTAGATCAGTTTTAGTTTCGATCAAATATTCATTTCTCTAATATCAGAACCTAGAAATAAATCTCTGAAGAATAGTCTCAAAAGATTTATTCACCACATAGACAATCGTTTGCCAAAACCATCTTTAAAGGCACCCCAGGCAACCCCATTGATCCAATAAATTCCAACGATTTGCCAGCGAAATGAGGCCGCAGAATCGTAAAATCAGAGCGAATAATCTCTTCAACTAAAATTAGCCGCTTCGTATTGTTTACGCGCTGCAATAAAGTAATAATTACCCAAAAGAAAAAAAAAATTCCATGTTCCAAATATATTACACCGATCCGCAGTTCGATCAATCGCAACCCAAGGCAACATACAAAAAATATAAAAATAAAGCAAAAGAATCGAACGGGTAAAAAGTATTTCAACTATATATATTGGATGTCTTGGGCCGACAAGTGTGACTATAGCGGAAGGGGGACTTTATTTTTTCCCTCATTTGTTTACATCGAACGAAGAAGGAAACCCAAAAATATAGATCTTACATGGCCATACGGTTGCAACCTGCCCCGGAGAAGAGAATACGGAGATCAGTTCGAGGCAGGAAGCTAGAATCGCTGGCAATGCAATTGAATTGCCATTAAATTTGGAAAGAACCCAGAATGCATTCGGTCGTAACCCACCACCCACTCTCGGGTATGAAATTTATTGGAACTACAAAGTTTTCGAGTCGTTGTCGTGCATCTGGAAATTGGGCAGAGATCACATGGGGTGATAGATAGGGTATAGAGACAGAAATCCTTCTTCTAATAAACTGGCAGGACGTCCTTGGTGGAGAACGTCCTTCTAGTGGAGGGTTCCATTATAATATCCTAAATCTGTATAAGCTCTTCAGTGGAGTCAAACGACTGGATGATCCTGCTGAGAGGGGTGGCTGCTTACTTGTTTTTTTTCATAATTCTTCTAAAACTATTTTAAATTTTCCTTTTCTTAAATTTGGTTATGTTTCTCTCTGGTCAATCAGGCCTTTCTTCACCTCACAGACTCCCGGAGGGTTAGGCATTGTAAACCGCCCCTGGAAATGTAGTTGTCTGGTTCTGGGTCTGGAGATCTGTGGCACTGCCGCCTGGTCTTCTCAGAGCTATTTTCGCCAGATTTTAGTTGATGCTTTATGGCTTTATAATGTCTGGGCGCGTTCCGTTTTATGATCTGGCCCGTAAAACGGACGCCGATTCATGTTGGGCCCCCGGCAACAATATGGTAATTTGTTGGCCATTATATGAACTGATTTGGAAAGGGGTTTGCTAGTACATCCTAGGGTGGTGTCTGTATAGAAAAGAGGGAGGGAGAGGTGATTGATAATAGTAGGGATTCTAGGTATTTCTTAATTCGAGAAATGTTTCTTAAGTATTCTATTAAAAAAATATAGATCTAAAAGGTACTCACCTACGACCTCTTTGATTCCTCTTCCTCGATCACCTCGGTTTTAGCATCCTTCCGGTAGTTTTGATATTTGTCAAGGATCTTGCTAAAGATTCCCTTCTCGTTTTTTATCGCCGTGTGTTGGCGAAGAATCACCAAGGTTCGGCTACACTGCAGAAAAACTCCCGACATTTTTTGTTTTTTGGTGAACTGTTTACCAGATTGACTTTTGAGAAACTGAAACTTTTAATTTAAACTCAAAACCATGTGAAATTTTCTCCAAGGCTACTTAGACTTGATTTAAATTTGGAAAATTGTGATTTACTCTTCAGGTTTTGAGTCTTTGCTTTTGTCTTCGCCTGGCTTGTTCTTGCAGCGTGGACCGGTAGCTTTTACATCTGTACGAAGGAGGGAAAACTAAAATACAGACTCACAGACGAGTTGATATTAACCTGCCTTTTCCACAGACATCCTTCTTCTTATCCTTGTTCTTTTTATCCTTATCCTGGCTTGTCTTGGAATCGCCTTTATCTAATGAGCCCGATAAAAGACGAAGGCTCTTATTAGTTTTTAATTGCAATAAGACAACATTCCGCAGAGAATTCATCGTTAAAATTATAAGCCAAAAACCAGAAAACTAAACAATAATGTAATTTGACCTAAAATTTTTGGGTAGAATAAATATTAAATTTAAATCAAAGCAAAGGAATTTATTTTCTGGGTAAGTTAAATTCAAAAGTTGCTTTGATTTGGTTTTTAATATACAAGTTTATATGTACTTATAAAAATCCTATCGTAATTTATCCATATAAAATGTTTCTATAATTTCTTATACGATTTAAAGACAAATTTAATTTATTTCAATTTTATTTTTATATATTAGGAAAAATAATAAGATATAAACACTTTCTTTACTTCAATTTAATTTAGTTTTCCCTCCTTGTTCCATGGTGATTATTTCACTTGAGAATTTAATTTATTTTTAGATTTAAAAGAAGAACCACTTCTTTTTCTTGCATGGATCCGGGCATGGTTTTGGGCATGGGCAAGGCTTCGGGCATGGACAAGCTTTCGGGCATGGACAAGGCTTCGGGCAAGGTTTTGGCTTTTCACAAGGTTTTGGCTTCGGACAAGGTTTCGGGCATGGGCAAGGCTTTGGCTTCGGACAAGGTTTAGGCTTGGGGATATCTTTTGGCTTTTTATACGGACAATCTTCTTTCTTCTTCTTTTCGCAGGTCTCAAGATCATTCAAGCAGGGATCCTGGAGAAAGTAATCCTGCCTAGAAGTCTGCCTACAGGTACGCTGCTTAGAAAAGTTCATCTGTCCGGACTCCTGCTCTCGCCTGGAGGTGGTCATCAAAACATCGCTCATCTTCATGAACGCCGTGGTGGTAAATCGATGCATCCTTATTTTTTTACGCTGCCAAAAGTCGATTTGTCAAAAGGTTAAAAAAGGCCTAACAAGAATTTTGAGATCCGTTTTGTACTATTTTTACAGTCACGATCATAAGTAAAGTGCCGTGTGGGCTGAGCCCTTTCTCAATAGCTGCTTTGTTTGCCTTTTTTTTTTTTGGTTTTCCGAATATCGGGCGTTTGGTTTCAATTACGTTCCCCGTGGCTACTGCTTCCCGAATCAGTCTCAAGTGCCGACCACACATTATCCTTGGACCAGGCATATCCTTCGAGGGAAACGGCTGGGCGGCGCCACGTCAAAATATTTGTCGTCAGCGCCTCAATTGGTTCGATTTACGATCTTGGTGTGGATAATTAGGCGACTCCTGCGACGGGATGTCGCCACCGATTAAACCCAGAAAATTTACATTTATTTTTGGTTTAGTCTTCCCTGACAACCACTTGAACTTGATATTGGTTGTGATCTCAGTTCTTGACTTTTCACTAATGATGTGGTGTTGATTGCTTGCCACAGGGAATAAGGTTCGAGTGGCTTTGCGGGGTTAAATGTTTCTAAATTGGGAAAATATTAAAAAAAACTTAGTTTTAGAAGGTTTTATGGGATTGAAATAACATTTTAAATTAAATATTTTCCTGTCAATCTGGTAAGATTATATATTTCAAGATATTTTAATAAAAATCAGACTGAAAAAAAGTCAATTGAAATGCCAAAAATCCCATTTCCTTCCCTTCAGATATATCCTTGAAATCTGTAAAATGTATCTAGGCTAATTGTTCCAGCTGTTTCAACTGTCAAGTTGCTAAATTCACCATAACCCATGACATTTCAATGTTGGCCAAGCAATCTATAGATCGTTTTTTCGTATCTTGAAGATATTTTTAGACCTCACAGGTGCGTTGCTGTTTCCCGCCGAAGGCCAAAGACCACAAATCGGATGAGGAGACGCGACTACAAAAGCCTCGAGTAAGAACAAAGCGAAAGCGAACGACACGGAAGAATTCTGTGGAAGAGGAGAGAGAGATCTTGGAGCAGGGCAATGACGACAATGAGCGTCAATTGAAACGAAACAGATGCCAAGCCCAATAAAAAAAGGGTATCTGGGAGATACAAGATTGCAGGAGAAGATCTTAAAAAGATACTTTGGTTCGGGGACTTCTTTTTGTGTGCGTGATCAGCCATTTTGGCAAAAAGTGCTTAAGCCGAGAGATTAATTACTGCCATCGTTGCGGAATCGATGATCGCATAAATCGCCAACAGATCAGATGTTCGTTTCGGTCTCGTTCTGTTTCCTGTGAGTCAACGCATTTTTAAGTACCGGCTATTAAGCTAAAAGCTAAACAACCAAAAGCGGCCCAAGTGGAAATCACTGGAGATCGTTGCCTCCCTCTCGGTTTTCTTTCTTCTCTCAGAGCTCTTTTTTTTTCTTTTTGTTCTCTTAATTTTTGTACATTTGGCGCAATTATTGCGCACCAAATGGATCGCCAGTCTATAAATTGTTCGATTTTATTGCGCCAGCTTCGACAGTTGAATGGCGCAAAGCGCCAACAGGGGTTGGGGGTGTTCAGTTCGCATAGTTTGGCAATGGCATCTTCTTGGCCATCTTGCGCAAGTCGGCCATCTTGCTTTCGATACGCACACACACACACACACAGGGGCATATTTCACACATCGGCAAAGGTGTTTACGGCCGCCACGTGAAAAGCCAAGTGCCAAAGTGTGGCAATCGCCCAATCGCCGGTCACCACGGGCGGCACAGTCCGAAAATGCCATTAGGTTGGAAAATATGGCACAACCTGTAGGGAAATCAAAGGAAAAGGCTAAAGATAATTAAGGCTAATATTTTATGGCCTTTTCTAGGTTTTAAAGCCTTATTTTCAGAGATTTTGAATAAAATTTAAAGAAACCTTTGCTTTTTTAAATGGATTTAAGCTTAATTTGTTGTTAAATAATATTTTCTTTCCCACTTTTCCTATAAGATTTCCATATCTTCTGGCATCTTTCAAGTAGCTCTAACTTATGTATTTAAAGGTCTTAATATTTATCAACCCTTCCTCATTTTATACACCTTTCTAATCCCAAATAAAAATCCCTGTTTATGCCACTCAAGTTTGTCAACCGCATTTGGCCCAAACAAGATCGTATCCACTTAGCCAGAAACGAGGGCATTTAATGGGAAATAAAGCGCGGAGATTCATAAATATTTACAAAAACACACATAATTACAGTCGTGGGAAAAAACAATAACAACTTAAAAACGTGGCTGGTTAAAAAACAAAAATGAGAGCAAAATCATATTGTGTTTATGTGTGTGTGTTTTGAATTTGATTTTGATGTTTTTTGTTCGGCAACACGTGATCCTAATCAAGACACTGGGTGATAAACAATATGGATTCGAGATCGGGAATCGGCGGCACTGGACCGGAATTTGTAAATATTTAAACAAAAGTCTTTGGCCGGCCAAGAAGTTCTAACTAGACGGCATAATTTTTCCGAATTTTTTTTCGGTTGGAAAACTCTATGTAAATATTTTGAAATTTTCCCAGATTCCTCTATGCATATCTCTTGGCTCCGATTTGATTATTTATTGTCTGGGCCTGGGAGAGGGATCCGAGGGGGTGACTGTTTAATAAGCGGGGGCGTGGCAGGCGGTATTAGGTGCAATTGTTTGCTTTTACCAGTTGTTGTGTAGGTCAGTGTGCAAAAACAAATCCAAATGCGGCGGCGGCGGAGGCGGCTTCTTCTTGTATACAACAAGTCGTCGGTGGTGGTTGATCGTGATCGTGTGTTTAGAGTACAGCGTTTAATTGTTAAATGTTTATTAAAACTACAGTTTAAACAATGGCCAGTGCCTCCGCCTCCGCCATTGCCACTGCCTCGCCTTCTCTCCAGGATTCACCATCATCAATGGGAACTGGGATGGAATCGGGAGATGGAGATGGAGAGATCGGCCGGCTCAACGCGTCGTATACATAATTTTGTTTACAAACATCACGCATAGAGAGAGAGTAGTAAACAATTTTCGGCCATTTAATAACATTAACATTAAAATTAAAAGCAAAACAAGAAGCTCTGCCCGTCGTCTCTATGCCACCAACTTATCTTTATTATGATTATCTGAACTTGAAAGCTATGACGGCTTTTGTTTGGGAATTCCCTTGGCCATGTTTATGGATCTGATCTCTTCGGTCTGGCCAAAGATTTCTGCATAGGTTATGGTTTATATAGTACCATTTGGACCAGGGATTTTCAATCCAAAACTGGCCGGAACTCTTGACCCAGTTAAGGATGACGCACTCTCCGTGTGTGGCCAGTGCATATTTTTCGCTCGGACAACGTCTATATATAGAAATCGGACGGCTATAAAGACAAGATGTCGTACCGGGAAATGCAAAATTATAAATTCTATCTTGGATGTCGGATGGGAAATTTTCTTGGCAAACATTTCTGCTGAAACGGAAACTGTCAAAATATCGAAGCTGCCTGTATCTTTGATCAGATTTTTCCAATAAATATTCCGTTTACAGTTTACTATAGTGTAAGCCCAGCACAAATCAAATTGCGGATGGAAAATGTTGATTGATTTTGTGGCCAATTTTTACGATTTTACGTTTTATTTAGCCTTGAAAATGTTTCTTGAAGGAAAAACATTTTTGGAATTGATTAAAAATATGTTTTTTTGTAATTTTAAATTTTTTTAATAATTTTAAGTTAACATATTTATAAAAAATATATTTTTATATGTAAACTTTTATTGTTTATTAAGTTTTAGGTGATTTTTAAAGTTTTGAAAGGAATAAATCAGCTTCAAGTAATTTTAATTAATTTATTAACTTACTAAAAATTCTTTTTACCCAATTTTCAGACCAAAAACATTAATAATATTTATAATTTCATCCCATAATAAATCACATTAAGGCCTAAATCATTTTGTTAAAGTCAATTTCTCAGAAACTCATCCCAGAACAGAACAATTAATAAATTTCCCGCCATTTTCAGGGTCTGTGAGCTATTGTTCGGGGCCTGTTTAATTTATTCCTCACTCGCTGCGAAAATTCCTGAAAACAAAAGCAGCAGGAAAATCGAATATAAAAATAAGAAAAAAAGAAAGAAAAACGAAACGAATAAGGAGAAGTAATAATAATCAAAAGAAAAATTAATTTATGGCCTCCAAACCGCAGAAGCCGCAAGAAAAATGGCCAAAAGTGAAAAATATCTGTATGCCAAATTGAAAATTACTAAAGAGAGTGGAATGCTGGGGTGCTGTGGGAAATTTGGAAAACCCGAAACCCCATTGGTATGGCAATGGTTCTGGGAAATTCGCAGAAAATGGCGAGTGCCTTGATATATGGCGGATGAAATTAAAATATCTTTCAAGACAGACCAACAAAATGGGAAAATAACAAAATAAAAGTATAGCCGGCTAGCGGAACGGAATTTTCTTCAATTTTCCTTCGTGATCCCCTGCTCCCCCCTTGGGCTTTTCTCAATCCAGTGCCCGCCGCCGTCGACAAATAGAATTTCGTGAAATGTAAACAAAACTCCGCCCCCGTGTGTCCCTCCCACTAGATGTATCTCTGTATCTCTCAGAGCGCTCCCCTGTGTATCTTGTTCTTTTTTTTCGGTTCTCGTTTCGCTTTTCGCTTTCGGATCCCCAAATCGAATTGAAACGTTGCCCCAAGAGAGAGCGAGAGAGAGAAAGGAAGAAAGCCAGGGGGACAGAGCGAGAGAAAACACATCGTCGCCATCGTCTCTGTTCAGTGGCGTAGAAGGGGGATATATTCGGGAAAGAAATTATTTAATATAGATTTTAATACGATTAAAAAATTGGAATATAGAGTCTTACGTAATTATTAATTAATATTATTTTTAATATTACTAATTAATATTTTTTTGCCTTAATCACTCCTCCTCCCTCACCACGCCGCCCCTGTTTCCGTCGCCTTCACGGTCGCCTGGCTGCCCTGCCCGAGTCGGCGTAGTGCTGACAGCAATGGCGGCACTCAGGTCTCCGCTCTCCAGCCGCAGTCCGCTTCAGCTCCCGCTTCCACTCCCGTTCCCGCTGCCGCTCCAGATCTTCGGTCCGGATCCGTGCCAGGCAACGACTAAATCAATTAACAGCTCGTTTCGAAATCCGAACGCCGCCTCCAGCAACGGCAGCTTCCTTTTTCCATACGTTTTTCTTTTTCTCGTTTTTCCACCGAAACGCTAATTCATTGAGGCTAATTGCGGGTTCGCCTTCCGAGGATCTCGCTCTGTTTTTGACTATTTATTAACTGTTGACTGGCCAGGGGCGCAACGCTGTCCCAGCGGGGGAGTAGGTGGCATCGTTCTGCTCGGAAATAACAGCCATAATGAGTCAGTAATGAGTGGGTTCCGATCCGAGTTCTTTGGGGTCAAGGAGGCGTAAATAAAGGGGGAATTGATTTAAGTACTTCCCACAATTTTAAACCAATATTGCACTTTTGGGGGTGGCAAATATTTACAAATAAAAGTTTTGAATGTGCCAAAATTTACTTTGAAGCTGTTGAATTTATTTACTAATTGGAAATATTTTTAATTTCTTATTTACAAAATAGTTACAAGTGGGGAAAACCTATGATATTGCGATGTATTTAAATGTTAATTAAGAAAGTGGGGTTTTTGGTATTTTTTTATGGTTTTTAAATGAATTCTAATTTTTAGAAATTTGTAGTAAGAAAATATAAATAAATTACAAAGTAAGCCTTTAATAAATTAGAGTAAAATTATATTTTCTTTGTAAGGAAAAAGATGGAAAGTAAAAAACCGCTTCAGTAAACCTTGTTTTTGTATCTTTTAAGTGTTTAAATATTTTTCTAATATTACATTTTATTTATTTACTTAAATATTCTCTTAAACATCCTTTTAATTTCCCTTTCCTTTTGATGCTATGACAAAGTAAGTTCCTATTGGACTTGAATTTATTTATTTAAATTAGATTTACTTTCCTATAAGAAATATCAATCCTCTGATATCTCAATTTTCCATCCATTTCCCTAGATTCCCGGCATACCTGTGCATATCTCCAATAACCGCAGTCCAAGTAAGACCTCTGCGAAATGGAGAATTCCATATCATTTGCATTTTCTCGGAGAGAAGAAAACCTCTGTGACGAGCCAATTGGCGGCAAGAAAAAAGAGAGCAAACCTCTCGACATCCCCGATATATATGTATAAATATATATATAATCCTACATATGGGGAGACATCGGAGAGAGCGGCGATCGTAGGCATACTAAAAAAAGAATTCCCAGCCGATGGCAACTCAAGTGGATCGCATCGGCGGCCCTTGCTCCAGGAGCCAACAGCGATCAGTCGAGCGAGAATAGCCAAGCGGTGTGGTCCTCCAGTGGTTACGATAATATAAAACCATATCCGCCGGATAAATAGCGCGTAAAGGAAATAAAATAGGATATTTTAAGGCGGAGAGTTAACTTGAAAGTTACTGAAATTAATATTGCAAAATTCAGAAAACCAGTGAAAGTGATTTGGATGAAAAGGAAATGTTCAAAATAAATTAAAAAAGTTTAAAAGAATATTTAAAATAATTATTAAAGGTGTTTTACAAAAAGAAAATAAAGTTAAATTTTATGAAAAAGTTATAGAAATATACAAGTATCCACAAGGACCTTTTATAAACAACATAGAAATATTTAAAAAATACTTAAAAGCTATTGCCAAAATATTTTAAATATTTCGGAAAGTCTTAATTAATATAAAAATACATTACGTGAAAATAAAGCAACAAATAAATATTTTACAAATTATAAAAATATCTTAAAGAGATATTGAAAATATTTCTCAAAGTTTGTGAAAATGATCAAGAGTGAGGAGGTGTCGGAACGTTCGCTCATGTCGGTGGATCAGTTAGGCGGCTCTGGCGGCGGCGGCGGTACCGGTGGCGGTGGCTACTACCACCCCCATTTTGGCCACCCCCATCCGCATCCTCACAGCCTTCCCCATGGACATCCGCACTCGCATCCGCACAGTGGGCACTTGTACCGCACGGGGAATGGCCTCCTGGTCGGTGGCAATTACCAGACAATGGGGGGCAGTGAGTCGCCCACAGAGCTGGTGGACGAGAAGCCAAACATTGCCTATATGGAGCTGAAGCACTACATGGACGTCACGCCCACGGCCACGCCTGTATCGGCTGCTCAGCACTATAGTTTGAGTGCTCTGCACAGCATGGGCACTCCGCCGGCCTCCTCGAGTCCCATTCCGCCCTACGGATCCGTCTCGCCCCAGTCCAGCTCCAAGACGCCCACGGCACAGGATCTGCAGCCACAGGATCTGCAGTATGTGACCTCCAGCTCTGCATCAGTTATCTCCTCCAAGGTGCAGCCACTGCAGGTGCAACTCCAACCCATGAACCACCAGTATGCTTCCACCATCAAGTACTGCTCGAACAACACCATTCTCAGTGCCAATGACTACCAGCTGCTGACCAGCCATGAGGCTCAAGTGGAGCAACAGCAACAGCAGCAGCAGCAGGCGCCTCCCCAGCAGCAACAGCAGGTGCCGCTCCAGCACTCGCCCAGCGGGGGAGTGGCCTACCTGCCGCGCATCTCCGCCTCGCCCAGCCAGGTGATCAGCAATGCCCACGGAATGTCCTCTCATGGGGTCAACTACTCCAGCTCTAGCTCTTCGCCCGCCAAGTCTCTTAATGGCTCCGATTCCTCGCCGCCCAGCCAGAATCAGCAGCAGCAGCAGGGCAGCAAGGCAGGCTCGGGTTCGGGTAACCAGGATGCAAACAGTACGCCAGACACCACCAAGAAATCGGGCACTAGGCGGCCCGAGAAGCCTGCTCTGAGTTATATCAATATGATTGGACACGCCATCAAGGAGTCGCCCACCGGCAAGCTGACGCTCTCCGAGATTTATGCTTATTTGCAGAAGAGGTAATTGTATAAATAGCTAACAAAATACAAAGAAAATCTCCCAAATTATTTACTTTATCCAAAGTATTAACCATAAATATAAATACCTAAAATATTTCCCTATAATCCGTGCCAAAAACCCGCCTAGAACCATTCAATCTAATAAATAGGGGGAGGCATCTCGGATATCGCCAAGTGGCTCCATCGACACTCGGACCTGGTGCCCAAACCATATACAGATCCGTGCGATCAATGTCAGGCTACAACAAGAAAATGTGTCGCTGGGGCTCTTTATTTACTTGCATCCGAAACCCCGAATTGAAACGCATGCGCATCCTTCAGATAGCTCGGATTTCGCGGCGATTGTTTGGATTTTGATTTCGGCGACGAGACGGGAATCCACTTGAGCTTTAACCAGGGGGGAGGCGGTGGGGAAGTCGAGGGGATAAAGTGGCGATGCGTGAGAGGCTTTTAAGCTGACATGGTGGGTTTTTTTGTCGCCGGTCTCCGATCGCCTCCAAAAAGTTTTAATTGAGTTTCGCCAGCGAAGCCAAATAAATAATCCGCTCGATTATCAGTTTTCGTCTTTGGCAATACAGAGAGAGAAATTTGGGGAGGCATAACTCATGTTATTATATGATAAATCATATTAAAAATGAATTAAGAAATAGTAGAAATAGAAAGAAATCTCACTCTTATTTTTCTATATTTAAAAATCTTAGATAATTAATGTGGAATATTTTATTTCTTTTTCCAGCTATGAATTTTTTCGCGGGCCTTATGTTGGTTGGAAAAACTCGGTGCGTCACAATCTCAGCCTGAACGAGTGCTTCAAGAAGCTGCCCAAGGGCATGGGCGTAGGCAAACCCGGCAAGGGTAACTACTGGACCATTGACGAGAACTCGGCACATCTCTTCGAGGACGAGGGCAGCTTGAGGCGCCGGCCCAGGGGATATCGCTCCAAGATCAAGGTCAAGGCGTATGCGGGTCATGCCAATGGTTACTTTGCAGGAAGCTATGGAGATGCGGGAATGGTAAGCAAGGATTTCTTAAATAAAAAATTTATAAAATAACTAATACTGACTTATCCCTTCAGGACAATGCCAACTTCTATGCCTCGCCCGCCTATGGCAGCTATGACTACACCTCGGCTGGCGTTAGTGGCGTCTCTCCGGGTGGAGTCCAGGGATTTGGTGATGCCTGGAATGGCCATGTTGCCCACAGTGGTTCACCTTCGATGGGCGTGGTTGGCTCTCTGCCTCAGTACTCCAACATATCCTGCCTGACCGCTGGCGGTAATCTAAATGGCTCTTCGGCCACTCCCCCGCTGGCCCACTCTGCCCTTGGTATGGCCCCCTCGGTGACGGGATCCTCCAGCTCTCCGCTGGGCTCGGCGGCGCTTCAAAGTGATTATGCGCCAACCGCCAGTCTCGTGGCCGCGGGCTACTCCTATGCAACAAGTGCCAGCAGCCTGGACAACGGTAAGTGAAGCGGCTTCTCCAGAAAGCGATGAGGGTTGTGAGGCACTGGGAGAAATAAAAGTGAAGTTTGGGAGTTTATTAGAGGAAAGAAGGGGAGTTAATCTAAAAGAAATATATATTTTTTTTGTGGAGGGAATAATTAAGAACTTTATTATCCTTTCCTTTTCGATATTCTCTGACAACTGTAACACTTGAAAATATTTTAGATAGTTTATAGATTATACTAAAATCTCTAAGGTCAAAATAAGTCCCTTTTTTTCTCCCTGTACCCACTTGAGAGGATTAGGGCAGTTTCTTCAATGAGGGCAAGGGAATCGTAATGTTCCTGGGTGTTCGCGTCAATCAGGGTAATTTAATTGCTGACGTTTCACAGCTCGGATTACGGAGGGGGAGAAGAGCAACAACATATGGTAATCTATGCCGCACTCGATCCTCCCTTTTTTATAGATGCCGCCGTCGCCGTCGCGGCGCAGTGTGAATTTTAGCGCTTGTCCATAAAACTGAGAAGAACTGCCAGTTTAATCTGTTTTACTTTTTTTCTTTTTTTGCCAGGTCTCCGCTCGATCTCGCTGCAGCAGCTGCCCGGACTGTCCAGCATCCAGCAGCATCATCATCATCACCAGCACCACCAGCAGCATCACCAGCATCAGCAGCAGCAGCAGCAGCATCATGGCTCGCTTCATCAGAGCCACGGCTCCATGACGCCGCCGCCATCGCAGTCCGGTGGCAACCATGTCATCGACCATTCGCATTCGCCCATTGACCGGAAACCGGTTTACCTGCCGCCCATCACACCTCCACCCACTTCGGTGGCTTTGAATGGAGGCGGTGGCGGTGGAGGATACTATGAGGCCCTCAAGTACTAGGATTCTTACTGGGATCAGTCGCTCTATATTGTTTCATTACCTCAAAGGACACACACACATTAATTTAGGGTTTAAGTAGTTCTTAGTGCTTAGTTGGGGGAAACTCTACACTTAGAGAAATCCATTGTACGCGTAGCAATTAAAACAAACTATTTATAAACAAGACATGCCTCGCAGCGAAGTTTCGAGTAAATTAAAATATGAAATATAATCATAAAATAAATGGTTTGACTTTTCTTTAATTTATTTGGGTTTTGGAGAATTACACAGAAAATATTTTTCGGTTAAAAGAAAAGGTTATTGGTTGATAAAATAAAACAAAGGGATTATATAAATATTACCTATAAATAAATAAAATAGATCTAAGATCTTTTAAATGCCAGAAATAGTTATTATGATTATCTTTAAAAGATGCTAGCTCTCTTACGGATTCAAAATATAATGCCATTAGTCGTTTTAAGCGAAACTTGTTAGTTTTCATATAAAATAAAATTTATTAGAATTTTTAATTTTAATTATTATTATATTTTTTATTTGTGGTTTAGCTTGCAGTTACTTAAAACGGAATTTCTGTGAATGATAATAACTATATGAGTGTAATTAAATCTCGTATATTAGTAAATAAATTATTTAAGTGATAAATCTAATATTTTTTGTAGATATATATTAATTTGCATTTAATTATCATTTATTATTTTATTCTATCATTTATCTACGTTTTATTCTCTCAGTGTATTATTCTTGTTTTCTTTACTAACCGCTAGGTGGCGCGTTCACAAGTGAGTTGAGGTTGAAAACTCGGCTATTAATGCCACATTTTGTGTGGCGTCATCTATTTCCGTTATGGGGCGCCACAAATTCGATTTTCTTGAAGTTGCATCGATTATTTAAGTTATCGGTATAGAGCGGTTATTTTAAAATTTTTAAATAATAGATTTCGTTTTGAATAGTTTGAGGAAAAATATGAAAGACACCTAATATATTCTACTTTTACTGTTTTTGTCTTTTAAGAGCTGATAATATTTTTAAATTCTTAATATTTTTTTTAATTCTTGCAGATTTTCGTATTGTATTCATTGCTAGTTTGTGAATATCAGCATAATAGCATTTTTATTGTATATTAAAAATTAGAGATTGTTTTGGTTTTTAATAAATGGAAATTGATTGTAAATTTTTGTCTTAGTCATGAAAAAACATATAATATAAGCCCTCCAATGTTTAATACACTTTATTTTTAACATTTTTTAGTCACAGATTCTCCAATAGTATTTTTAAGGAGTAAACATATATTTCTATTCAATTTTCACCTAATTTTCCCCTTCCACTACTCCAAACAATCCAATAAACTAGAATCCCCAGATAACGACAAGTTAATTGAGCCACAAAAGTGGACAACAAACCCAGGTCCATTGAGGAGCTAATCAGCTTAAGAGATGACCCATCGGATATCCTTCACTCTCCCAAACCGAACAACCGTCCAACCTCATTGTCCTGCAGATGAACAATCCAATTATTCTGTTAATTGTCTCACCTTTATGGGCAAATTAAAATCCTGCCCAGAGTCAAATCGAGGAGAGGTAAGATTCACCCTGCAACTCGACTCGCAGCCATTGTCCTGCGAGGCGAAAAGGCAGCAGCAATCGCATCAAGAAGTCGTCGCCGCCTGATCAGTATCTCTCTTCCACGCAGACGCTGGACAATCCGGGGATTCGCAGGGACAAAGCTACCAAAGGCGAGTGAGAAAGAATGAGAAAAAAAGGGATTCAAGGATTGCAAGACGACAGAGTCTCAGCCGAAAAGCCAAAGACAAACACAGGGACCGGCTAGCAAGCAAAGTTTTTGAGTGAAAAATTTCACAGTCAAAGGATAATCGGGATTAAATCTTCTTGAAAAGTTAATGTTTACACACGCACCTACCGTTGGCGATGATGTTGGCGGAAAAAAGATGCAAAAATTATGAAAATATTGTCACAAGTGCACAGTGCGCACAGCCAGGACGAGAGGCCAGGTCCCAGGCTCAGGCTCAGGCTCAGGCCCAGGCCCAGGCCCAGGCCGAGGCCGAGGCTCTGGCTGGACCGAAGCGAACAGGACAATTGCAGGCGGCAATCAAAACATGCAATTGTTCGTTTCGTTCCGCCTCGAATCGAACTGCAAAGCGAAACCGACCGAAAAACCACAAAAAGGGACGCAGGACCCAGCACCGAAGGACACTGGACAGCATACCGTCGTAAGAGGATTTGCGCGTCAAGTAAACACACGATTGGTAGGAGCCTGAATCCCAACCAGAGAGCCTGCAGGACTCGCAACGAAACGAAATGAAAAACCAAATCGAAGATGCACAGCCTGCATAAATAAATAAATAAATAAAATGATTTGAACATTTTTATTTTTGAGCACACACACACACTCACAGAGAGAGAGAACGAAACATTTTTCTTTGCGTTAAAATAAACAAGAAATTTTTTAAAAACCGTTTGTTGCACTTTTATTTACTTTAAATTTATGCGAAAATTAAAAACGTTTTTCGCAAGGATTTCCAGTAGAAACAGCAGCTGCCGATTGTTTTCATAGACGAAACAACAGCCATGCCGAATGGCTCGGACAATAACATATATAGGATGTAGATTTCCCAAAAAATTCAAAGAGTTTTCCCCCATTGCGAATTTTCCCCGAACTGGAAGCTACGCCCCCTTTTTATTTTTGGGATCCCCTCTCTCCACGTATCGACAGCGTCTCGAGTATGTCGCGCGTATTTCTCATATAAATAAACAAAAGTCTTGTTGCAATAACATGGCAGAGGGAATATTTATTAAATAAACATTAGACCAGCAGCAGCAACAGATACGAGCTACGAGTTACAAACTCTCAATGGCCAGGGTCTGGGATTGGGATCGGGTTTTGGGAAGGTATTTTATGAATGAGTTTAGGCGGTGGCACAGGTAAGGTGGCGTAAGGTAAAGAGTTGTGGGTTTACTGAGGTTAAATTGTGATTTAAATATAAGAATTTAAATATTAAATTAAATTTACAAGAGGTTTCAAGTCCTGTAAAATATTCAAAATAAAAGAAAGCTCTCTTTATATATTATTTTAAAAATACATAAAAAATATCTCTTAAGCCGATTGACCCATTTACACCCCAAAAACCCACCTAACAACATCTCTCATTGAACCTCCCCTCATTGAACCTTCAGGTTGTCCTTCATTAGCTTGCCGGACAGGTCACTTCCCCGGAAACCCAGCGGCAGCTCATCACTTAGCCAAAACATCCACACCTCGGCCACGCTCCCAGCTAACCTTAACTGCCAACCCAGAAACCCAGTGGCAGTAGTAGGAACTCCCACTTCCCAGCGGGTTGTAAGCCATAAAAATAAGCCACAGAAACCGCAGGACACGCGTGTGGAATCATCATCATAATCATCATTACGGAAAAAGGGGGGGAAAACCAAAACCAAAAGACCGGACACATTGAGTAGCAGTAGCACCTTCGGGTCAGGTAAAAATCTCGAGCCTAAATCTCGAGCATCTGGGGGAAAACCGTAGAGATTTCATTAAGAATTCCCGCGGCGCGCATTAAAGTCTAAACATGCCTTAAAAAGTTTTTCCCGCTAAGCGTCGATGATTAGCATCCGGTTAGGTAGAGGAATCCGGTATGCCGGATTCTCGATTCCGGACTTAGCGCCGTCTACAGAAATTTCCGCTGCTTATGACCGGAAGATTTTCGCCATGATTATGATTATGATTAAGCTAATGGCGGATATTTCCCAACTCGTTCACAGGGAGGAGCACTTGGGAGGTGGAATATTGAGTTTATAATATTATTATTATAATATATTATATATATTATTATTATTATTTTTTTTATGGTATTAATATATTATTGAAATTTAAGATATATTTTGAAATGCTTTATTCTTCAAAGAGGTCTTTCAGATTAAGTCTATAAAAATAGGTATGATGGACCTTAAACTATTTAAAAAGGATCTAAAACTACTCTTTTCCCTCATATATTTTATAATTTAAATAATTTGTATTATATACCAGCTGTGAGCATAGTTTTAGCTTGATTTTATGTAAAAATATTGCCTAATTACTGCTAAAAGTTAGTATTTTTCAAGCAAATATATAATTAAATTAATAAATAAATACTAAAAATAAGTTGTAAGAACTTAAAGACACGTTTATATATTGTTTAATAATATTTAAGTTTGAAGAACTATTTATACTAGATCTTTTACAGTTTAATAAATATTTTTGAGAACATTTTTCCATACTTAACTGCTCAAAATCTCTCTCTTTATATGGGATTTTTTATTTAACAAATACTTCTTATAAAAGTATAAATATTCTGTTATAATTACCCTCTTTTTCCGCCAGTGCATTGGCCATGTTTGTCTACTAACTAATCTGGTAAATTGTTTGGGCAAAAAAGGAGCAGGAGAATAAAGATAGGGAATATATGTATGCATAATAAGCCCAGAACCGTATACAAATCATAAATTTTAATGAGTGGCCAATATAGACGCACCCGCAATCCCCACTCCTCCACCAGCAACCTCACCCGCACCCTTAATTTTGCAGCCATAACTCCGTGAGCGAAAACACCCCGAAAAACCAGCAAAACTTTTTGGATGGGGAAATGTATCTGCGTATCTGTGTATCTGAGGGATACGAAACAGGAAAGTGCAGTGTGCGAGCGAGAGGTTGCTATGCAGGCAGCCATATAGCTGCATCTCGCTCAGCCTCGCTAATGGCCACGCCCCCGTCTCAGTGCTGCGCAGACGTTTTCCATGAGTGTGTGAGTGTGTGTGTGAGAGGGGGAACCCTCAACCGTTGCATATTCATGAGAGAGAAAAAGAGAGAGAGCGCTGTGTGTGACTGTGTGCGTGCCGTATCTGCCGGATAGCCGGTATCTGTGTGTGTGTGTGGTTTTTTGAAAAAGATTGAAACCGCTTTATCAGCATTTTTAGGAGCTATGTTTCCTTCTTCCTTCTTCGTTTTTCCTGAAAACCCGTATTTTTGTTTGCCGCTCAAATCCTTGGTTCAAGTGTCTGATTAGGTGCACTCCCTCTACCCCCTCCACTCCTCTAGCTCTTTAAAATCAATATTATTCTTAGATTACAGCCCCGAAAAAGGCAAAAAAAAAGAAGGGAGAGAGCGGGGGAATTGCTAAAATTTAATAATGGCCACATGTTCGGTCAGACTTCCCCATTTCCCCGATGTCATCGCTGTTCCGTTGACTGCATCTAATTGAGCGTGGCTAATGGGCGAGACATAGCGGTGCTGCTAGTGCTCCCCGGCATTCCCACTCCCACTCCCCACTTTATACAGTTTCCCCCAAAAATAATTGCACGGTTGTCATTTTGATCTGGCAAATATGTTTGCCAAATTAACATGTTGTGTGCGGCGAAAGCGTGGCAGAAATCAAGGCCCGCCTCAAGTTCAAGGAACTTTTGGGAAACATTTGTGATTATTTATTTGGAAAACTATAAATAATTTAAGGTACTTAAAGCACTCAAAAAGAATAGGAAATTATGAGTTATATTTATTCATAATATTTTTTAAAGGCAGATACATTTTTAAATATTTTTAAAAATATTTTTAGATTAGATTTCAAAGAACAAACTTTTCCGAGGCTTTAAGGAACTGAATTTCTCAGAGATTTTCGTTTAAATTAAGATATCTTAAAATTTATTTTATATTTTAAAAATTAATTAGGTTTCATTTTAAGTAAAATTATTAAAGATATACTAGCAAACTTGAAACCCATTGAGTTCCTATCCCTTAATCAATAAATCTAACAAATTCCCTCGATCATTTAAAGCTTAAAGCGTTATAATTTTATTCTTAAACTTCATCTATGAATTTTTTTAATATGTTCATTTAAAATCTATTAAAAAATTCCGTTGCTAGTTATTTTCATTGCTTAAATATAAATATTCAACTTATTTAATAAAGGTTTACTAGGTGTAACTATAAAAAGACTTTTTAAAATAAAACCCCGACTGAAATATATTAAAATTAAGACTCCCAGCTTTCGACTTTCACTGCATTTGGCCTGTGAAAAAATGTTAAGTTGCAGTTTTGGAAAACTAAAACAATATTTGGATAGGTCAAATGCAGTGGGACGACAGCGAGAGATATGGATACAGATACGAATGCAAGGAGCACTACGGCTTGGCGACAGCTGTGTGGGATGGTTTGGTTTCAGTTTGGGATTGAAATGTAATGGCAATGGCATATCGGATATGGCCTGGACAGGCACTGGGGGTAAATCGAGAAATCGAGATTGGTGACGGGACAGACAGGCAATGGCAACTACGTAAGAATAACATGAACTGTGCAAAAATGCCCAGACATACTCAGACAGTTGGCCACAAAAAAACGTTCACACCCACATACACACACAATCACAATCACGGCGCCGATGTCGAAGACAGAAATTTGTTAAATCAGCAGCGATATCCCAAAAATTTTTTGGGAAGACGAAGTTAAAGATACTCTTTAAGTTGGGATTCAAAAATAGGAGATATTTATGAAAATATTTCAAAAAATATTGTCATTAAAAAATATCTAGGATATTATATTTTTCTCTAATCATTTATGTATTTATTTCATTGTTTATTATTATTTTTTATATTTTTAGTTAATATTTTAAATTCAGAAATTTAGAAAAATAGAAAATTTTATGTTTTAAGCAGACTTCTACGTTTTGTATTGTAGTAAATCAAACTTCCAGATTATGTATTTACTTATGGTATATTCTACACAAATATAAATTAAATTGTTCAATATTTAACAAAAATTAATTTAATTTTAAACTTTAAACCTACAAAAAACCTTCTTAACATAGTTAAAATACCCTCCAAAAAGAGCCTGGAAAAAAAACCGAATACAAAAGAAACCCCAAATGAAATGCGTAAAAATGGAGCAGCTGGAACCTGGGAGCCTGGGAGTCGCCTCATTCGAATTTCAAATGCAGGACGACTCTCGGCGAACGACATGGCTATAACTGGACACACACACATGGTGTGCGCTGCGATGATTCATCTCTCGCATTTGGCATTTCCCTGCCACAACCCTCGGACCAGATCGCATGTGAAAAATTATGTTAAGACAATACAAATATTTGTCAAAATAATGCGATTGCGTTAATAGAGCCAAATATTATTCTTGTATCAATTACCCAGCCAGGAGGGGGTGTGTGTGTGTGCGAGTGAGCGAACAAATGCATGCAAAGCGTCTGCCTTTTTTTTATTTCGCCATCCTTCAAAGGGATAAATGATGAATAATAATAATACAAAAAAATAGTCAGCATACTTTTAAATTAAACAAATATCAAATACACACTCGTGTTTGTTTTCGATGCGTCTAATAACCAGACAAACACCCTGACTATCTCGTTCTGCCACGCACACACACTCGCCCTTGCCCAAATAAACATATAAAATTTACTTTAAAGCTGACAAAGTCAATAAAAAATATTGTTTCAATAAGCAGAAAAAAAAGAGAGGAGCAAAAAACAAGAGAAGCAGAATGAAATAAAGTCGGCAAATAAAAAAAAAAGGAATGCAAGAATAACACCCATGGAGGCAGGCCAGGGAAAGGACTTTTTATGCGCGGCTATATCTTCATTTGTTTGTTGTGAGTTAGGCCTGTGAATGGGTTGCAAGTGGGTCTATGAAGGAAAATAATAATATATTTGCAAAATTATAACATATTTACATAAGAAGTTGGATATTAAAAGCTATGAAAATGGGTTTAATTGAAAAAAATTGGTTATTTAATTATCCTGAATGAGAAAGCTTACAGAAAATATAATTTTAATTGAATATTGATTGGTTTTTTGTTATTAAAAAATATTTATTAATCAATTGAAAGAATCTGACGAAAAAAATGTGTGCTTTAGTTTTGAAAATATAAGTTACTATACATAAAAACCATTTTTTAATAAGCTAACATATAAATGCTACTTTGTAATTTTGTATAAGAATTTCTACAATTTCTCAGATTACGAAGGCTTGGAATTATTTTATATTATATTATATTCATTTAAATTGTCGAAAAGGAAATTTACTTTTTATTTATTCTAGAAATAAAAAGCCTAAAAAATATAATTTTTTGTTTTTAAACAAACAAAAGAACTACTTATAAATTATCTATTCAATTTCACTGAATTATAAATTAATTTCCTTTAATTTTCCCTCAAACTTCAAGTTCTTTAAACTCTCTCTCTCACTTTTTATTTCCCCTTAAAAAGAAGTTACCACCAATTTAAGCGCCCGAAGAAGTGAAATTTTAAAATACTTAATGCCTTTTGCCTTCGCAAGGAAAACAACCTTCGAACGTGCGCCCTTAACTTGGCCAAAAACTTGGCATAAAACCCATCAAACTGCAAATTAGCAAAGGAACTTCTTTCCTCGTTTCCTTTTTTTTTTTTGAGGAACTTTAAGCTGGAATTGAAAAAAGCTTTGAGCACTAATTTATGCCAGGGTAGGTTTTTCGGAAAGTACCTTCCCTCACCACCCACTGAAAGTCGCCCACTTGAACGGTTGGCTTTTTCCCAGGTGCCTCAACTAGCTATGTGCCTCTCGCTCGGCGGCCACTTGTTTGCCATAAGATAAAGAGAGAGAGAGAGAAAGAGAGCTCGGGCCTAGGCCGTATTTTAAGCATTAGTTTGAACAACAAAAACACACGGGGAAAGGACAACTATTTGGCCAGAGCAGAGAGCAGGAGGAAAAATCATGAATGGCGGCGACGGCGGCGGATACTCTGCTGTTGAGTGTATCTTTGTATCTGTGAGAGCGCTCACTTACTGACTGCGAGTGCCAGCCCTCGTTGGTTGGCTGCAGATACAGATACACTTGAGCGGCACACAGATACAGATACACACAAAGGCTGGCAGCAGCAGATACTTTTCGCTGCCGCTGCCAACGACGACGACGACGATGCTGCCCGGCGTCGCTTCCCAGCGAGCTGTGTGTTATTTCAGTTACACAGATTCAGTATCAGACGTGTTACTACTCCGGACGGTTCTGCGCTCGCTCTGCGCTGTGATCTCTAGCCCCCCGATATCCAGAAACACAAATATAAATATATACACATATATATCTCCGAGATATATCCCGCCGTACTTATGTGCCCGACTTGTTTAAGCAAATATTATCAGAAGCAATTGTAGTTGAGAGCTTTGCTAAAGTGAAAATAAAGAAACGAGAACAACCAGTTAACCAGGAGCAGCTGCAGGTTCCGCCGGAACCGGAGGAGCATCCACCACAACAACATCATCGCCATCATGCACACGCTTTTCAGTGACCAGAACTCCTTCACCCGCCATTATGCCCAGACCGCTGCCGGTTATGGTTCCGCCTCGGCGGTGGCAGCGGCCAGCAGTGCTTCTGCAGCGGCGGCGGCACATTACGCATACGACCAGTACTCCCGGTATCCGTACTCGGCCAGTGCCTACGGCCTGGGTGCTCCGCATCAGAACAAGGAGATCGTAAAGCCGCCGTACTCGTACATAGCCCTCATCGCCATGGCCATCCAGAATGCGGCGGACAAGAAGGTGACGCTGAACGGGATCTATCAGTATATTATGGAGCGATTCCCCTACTACAGGGACAACAAGCAGGGCTGGCAGAACTCCATCCGGCACAATCTGTCGCTCAACGAGTGCTTCGTGAAGGTGGCGCGGGACGACAAGAAGCCCGGCAAGGGTTCCTACTGGACTCTGGATCCCGACTCGTACAACATGTTCGACAATGGTTCCTTTTTGCGAAGGCGCCGACGCTTTAAGAAGAAGGATGTGATGCGGGAGAAGGAGGAGGCCATCAAGCGGCAGGCCATGATGAACGAGAAGCTGGCCGAGATGAAGCCTCTGAAGCTGATGACCAATGGTATTCTGGAGGCCAAGCACATGGCCGCCCATGCGGCTCACTTCAAGAAGGAGCCCTTGATGGATTTGGGCTGCCTGAGCAGCAAAGATGTCTCGCATGCCGCCATGCTCAACTCCTGCCACGACAGTTTGGCGCAGATGAATCACTTGGCCGCCGCCGGCGGGGGTGTGGAGCATGCCGGCTTTACGGTGGACTCCCTGATGAATGTGTACAACCCGCGTATCCATCACAGCGCCTATCCCTACCACTTGAATGATGACAATTTGGCCACCAGCCAGATGCATCATGCTCATCATGCCGCCGCCGCCCATCATGCCCAGCAGCTGCAGCGCCATGTGGCGCATGTTTCGCATCCCTTGACCCCCGGCGGCCATGGTGGTGGAGGCATCCAATCGTCGGGTCACTCGCCCACTACCATAGCCACGCCCCATGGCCCAGCGCATGGGGGCTGGTACACCCCGGAGACACCGCCATCGGAGCCTATTTCCCAGAATAACAACCAGCAGGGAACGCCCACTCATCCGGGACATGGGAATAGCAACAACAACAACAACAACAGCAACAGTGTCCTCAACAACAATGGGGGAGGAGGAGGCGGTGGCTCCCAACTAACCAGCAGTCCCACCTCGGCTTTAGGCTTTCGGGATATGATCTTCGAGCAGAATCAATCCTGCCAACTGGATCAGGGCAGTCCCACCGGCAGCCTACAGTCCGCCAGTCCACCGGCACCGGCCAGCGTGGCAGCAGCTTCGGCAGCAGCCGCGGCAGCGGTGATCAGTAGCCACCATCATCATCATCATCACCATGCGGCGCTCAGCGGGAACCTGGGTCAGCTGGGGCAACTGAGCAATCTCAGTCACTACCGGCCGCATGTGGGTCACTACCAGGAGTACGGCATCAAGTATGGTGTCTAGGAGGGATTCAGCGAGGAGTCGCCCCCAGGGGGATTCCCACTGACCACCACCCACCATCACCACCAGCTGGGCTCACTTGTATATTCGTGTAAATATATACCCAAGAACGAACCACAGCTCTAGATTGTAGATTGTATCTTTGTATCTCAGAACGAATTTAAGCTGCTTTTCTGTTGTTTCCAGCCAGGGGAAACAGAGTTAAGGGGGGAGTAGGGAGAGCTCTTGAGCTTTTTCCTCATAAAAAAGTATTGATTTGAGCTTCACATCCCTATCCCTTAGCTCTTAAAACCCTGGACTATCACCCCCTTTTATCGTATACGAAGCAAGTTTTAGTTGTTAAGAACCGCATAATTGTATTAACTGTATTTGTAATTGTAGAACTTAAATTGTTATCGCGTTTAGGCTTAGTCCCAATTGTCTGCTATGCAATTTGTGATGAGGTTTTGCTACACAGATTTATATATATATTAATATATATATATGAACATTAAACTAGCGCATTTTGTCAATAACTAAACTATTGCAAACTACAACTAGCCTAGCCCACGTAAGCAATAATAAATTATACAACTAAATCGTAGCTATAATATAATTATTATCAAAAACTAGTGTACGCAACAAAAGTGTATTGAAAATATGTTAAAATATCTCAAAAATTGTGTGTTTCATTTTTTGCGCTAATTTTGATTTCGGTTTCCATGGGAGTTTGTGGAGGTGTTGTCATTCCATCTGGCCATTGAACGCTTGGCAAAACAGACTTCTTACCCCGAATCGCAGAATTCCCAGATAAAAGCATTAATAACTATTCAAGCCGTGTCCATTTCGAGCTCTGAATGGAGGCCTGACTCAGGTTTTGATTGACAAGTTGTCGCCGGAAGATGGCTTTCTAGGTAACAGTATCATATCAGGTGGCTGCAGTTCTAATGGATTTATAGAAAAAGGAGAAATATCAATGGAGAAATCGATTGAAACTGTTTCACTGGAAATACAATTATGAATTGCTGGTTATGGGAGCCGGGAATATATATATTCTGAGCTGGAAGATTCGGAATCTTTAGGGGAAGGCATGAAAGAGCTGCTTTTAACAAGTAAGTATAAAAATTATGATCACAATTGAACTTTATTCTACACAATTTGCAAAGAAAAAGGTATTAAATATATAGGTTTCTGGTATTAACTTACTTAACTCAGTTTCATATACAAAACCTCGTTTTATATGTACATTTTTATACCCTTGCAGGGTATTAGAATTTCAGTCAGAAGTTTGCAACGCAGTGAAGGAGACGTTTCCGACCCTATAAAGTATATATATTCTTGATCAGCATCAACAGCCGAGTCGATCTAGCCATGTCCGTCTGTCCGTCTGTCCGTCTGTCCATCTGTCCGTCTGTCCGTCTGTCCGTCTGTCTGTTTCTACGCAAACTAGTCCCTCAGTTTTAACGCTATCTGAATGAAACTTTGCATATAGTCTTCTATATGCTCTCACTGCTATATATGTCGGAACGGGCCGGATCGGACGACTATATCATATAGCTGCCATACAAATGTTCGATATATTTGTAGAAAAAAAATTATAACTTTGTTGTTTTTCAACATTTTTGCACCGTTTTTTAGATATGGCCATTTTTTATTATTTCAGAATTTTGGTAAAAATTTTATGAAAATCGGTCGACTATATGATATAGCTGCCATAGGAACGGTCGAGAAATAAATAGATAAAAAATTATAGTTTCGTTGTTTTTCAACGTATGTTTATCTACTCTGAGATATAAGCTTTTTTTATTATTCTAGAATTATGGTATAAATTTTATAAAAATCGGACAACTATATCATATAGCTGCCATATAAACCGATCGGTAGATGTAGAGAAAATGTAAAACTGGGAATGTAAAACTGTAACTTTCAAACTGTAAACATAATAAGTATAGGTAAAATGTAATGAAACTCTGTTTGGTGAGTGTTTTCAGAATTTAAATCTATAATATAAACATCGAAACCAATCTGCAAGGGTATACAAACTTCGGCGTGCCGAAGTTAGCTTCCTTTCTTGTTCTCACTAAAAAATATCTTAAACATTATTATTATTAATAAATACTATTATTTTATTTTTATTTTAATCTTTTAGTTTGTGTTTCCCATAAAGTCTAGCTCTCTTTAACCCAAAAATCTCTTCACAAATTCCTTTAACTTCTCAGACATAAATAAAAATAAATTACATTTATTAGCCATTTATAAAAGAAAATGTTAGCTTTCACTCAAAAAAAAACCCCAACAAACAATGCTCTGCAAATTATAAATCTTTAGTTAAGAAAACTGAGAAGTCTACGGCATTTCCTTGGCCTCCTAATTGCCAAACAATTGCTGCAAATTGGTAGAAAGTAAAACACCAAGCTCTCTGGGGTCAATTCAACCTGCGCAACATTAATAAAGACTCCAAAAAATAAAGAAATATATAGATATATAGGAAGCTTATTAGTCCGTGAACCAGTTACCCAATCGATAAAAAAAAGAAGACTGAAGATGGATCGCCACTGATTGATGGCCGTAAAATGCTGCTGATTTGGGCGATGCTCCAATGATTATTTGCTCGGCAAAGCTTGTCACGGTCTCGTCTTGAGTCTTGGACTTTAATAAAGGCTGTCATGTCCAGTGAAAAAAGAGTAAAAAACAAGCCATTGTCACTTGAGCTTGGCTTGGCGCCACCGCGGCATTGAGATCGCACTCAGAAAAATGGTGGAAAAATCGGTAAAAATCTCCAACTCTCGATTTGTGGGCTAAACTCTGCTCAGGTGTTTTCGGGTTTCGACGGAGTGTAGACAGCTATGGCTTTCAATGGCGGACACGGCTTGAAAGCCAGTCAATTGGTATACCATTTCTGGCCGTGGCTATAACAAAGAAATATCTGGCTGGGTGGCATGTGAATGAGGCTCGAGTGCCGGCGAAAAGTGTGCCAAAGACTGTAGGCCTGAAAGCGAGCTTCAAATAGAGAGCCTACACTAGGCAACACAAGATTTTTGAGGGTTATATAAAGGGAATTTGAAGATAAGTTAGAGGTTTAACTTCCTAGAGAAATATTTATTTATATATAAGACGCTTCAACCTCATTTCCTTCTTGAAATCACAAGATTTCTTTCATTTTCAAACTACTATTTTCTTTTCTATAAAATTCCTTATTTTCATCAACAGAATTTTCCCGATAAATTTCACAAAAAAAAAAAACCAAAAACAAATTCCAAAAAGCTTATTTTTGGCCAGTCTCAAATTTCGGGTTGATTAAATCAGAATTTTTCGATGGGGCCGAGTGTGTCCAGTGTTTGCTATGCAAATTCAGCACATTTGGAACCCAACAAATTTTCGGCTGCTGCGTTGACAACGAAAAATGCCAAGCCATCCCGACTCCATTCGGTGTCAAAAGCAACAAAATTAAATGCGAAAACAACAAGATACGACGGTTGTGTGTGTGTGTGTGTGTACTTCGAGTGCAGCCAGGGTGGTCCAGATCCGGAATTTACAATCCGGAATCGCAGGGTCCAGCGTACTTTCACAAGCGGAGGACAAGAAAAACAAATGCGATGGCGACAAAATGTTGCACTGTTTGCTTAGCGATAAGGACGCGCCCACACACACACAGATACTCACGGATACATACAGAGAACGTGTGCATCCAGGACAACAAAATGCCAAATGTCCAATAATCAAATCGAGTGAAACGATGATAAAGGGGAGAGGGTGTAATGAGGTACACGGGGAGAATACTTTTGTACTAATTAGAAGTTTGATTTAAGATTTACGTATTAAAAATATATACAAAAATAATATAAAAATATAGAAAAATATATAAAAATATTATCCCGCTTAAGAATTTCGTTTTCTCCCCAACTAACCCTTATTTTCTCTCCCTGTATTCCGTCACAAATATTGACAGCTGTCTCTGTGGCTCATCGCGCAACCAGCCCGATTTACATAAATATTATTGCAAGCCTAATTAAATGCAAGTATTAGCCAGACCAGCTGCCAAACGCTGCCACAAGGATTCTCCGGCCACGGGACACATTGTGTACTGTATATACTATGTATTTGGTGGTATTCAGTGACTGCGGCTTCTTGGCCCGCGGGAGATCCTTTGTAATTAACGCTGCTTATTTTTCGCGCTTTTCATTTGGGGGGTTTTGGGCCCCTTTAAGGGGTGTGTGTACCACCCACTACCACCTGATATTTATTTACCTGGCCAGTTGTGTGTTGATGACCTGTTATCATTGCCCCGTTATAACAATAAATTCAGCGGCCAGCATTCAACGTTCAACGGCGGTGACAACAACACTGGGCCTCAGCGCCTTGTTGTTCTTGCACGGTTTGCCGTTGTTTTGGCAGCTGTCGTTGCAATTAACCAGGCCATAATAGACAATGGCTCTAAAGTAAATTCATATTGCCGGCCAACCTATGTACTTATGTGTGTATAGAGTTTGCATTGGATCGGTATGACATTTGTAAATTGGTGTGGGAAAAAATGGCCAGGTAAATTAATGTACTCCAAAAACCTTCAAAAATAAATGTGAGCGAGGGAAAAAGCTGAAATCACAATGGAAAAAAATATGATAAACCATAACATAGAAGTTGAAGAAAAGGGTAAAGAAAATGTCAACAACAAGCAACAAGAAAAGTCTAGGAAAAACAACAAATTAACAGGGAATATTTGAGAATTTTCGGGAAATGGTAAAGGAACTCTATAGTTGAGTAGTAATTAAAGGCAAAAGTAACCAAATTTTAAAGACATAAAATAAATGTAGTAACAAAATATACAAAAATACATACAGTTTCAAAAAACCCTCATATAGGAAATAGTAAAAAATCTTGATGACTCTTTATGGTTTTCTCTTCTGGGAAATCCAATGCCATATTATTGACGATCAACTTCAGATTGATTGTTTTGCCTTAGCTCTCCTCTAGAATCAAAATCAATTTGGTCTTTTGTAGAGGCTCCTTTTACTTCTCGATAGAGTAAACTTCCGCTTCCCCGGGGAGTTCCATAAAGGCCATAAAGCTATGGCCGGCATTTTTAGTACACAATACGTGGGAGCGACAAGAACAACAACAAGAAGAAGGCAAACTGCATTTTTATGGCATTAAACAAACTTTGAGAGCGTATGTTTTCGAACACTTTTGAAGTTTTATTGAGTTATAAATACGCAGAAATGACTTTGGAGTTTGGCCCAGCAATTTTCAAATCAAATTTATGATCGATTTATGCAAAAGCCAACGGCAAAGGCCAAATAGGCCAAAACAAAAATTGCAAATAGGCAGCGCCAGGCGTCGACATTTGAGTTTGAGTAAATTATCCATACGGAAAGGGGGATGCTGGTGGAAAATCTGGGGGGGGAATGCTGGGGATTTATTGGCCCAGAGCCTCACGGGAAAAACTCTGAGGGGGAAACTTTGATTGACTGCTGCGCTTGAAGCGCTTTGATCTGAGAACTCCGATCTGCGATTTGCGATCTACGATGGGCGGAATCGATGGATCAGTCATAGTCATCATCCTGGACGACCACGTCAACAGATGGCGCTCGGTTTGGGGTTAAATTGGGATCTTGGGGGTCTTGGAATCCGATTAGT